CGAATAACTACCACCAGGCTCAGCATCTGCCCAACAGCTACATGGACTTTCCTAAGGTAGGATTTATCAATAGCTCTGTAGACGATTTAACCCCTGTCCCTCCTATGTACTAATGATAGCCAATGACATATTGTTGTCTGTTCAGGGGATGCCTATGTCGATGTATGGAGGAACCATGCTGCCCCCTCATCCTCCCATGGCAGAGGGGCCAGGGGGGCCGATGTACAATGGTTTGCACGCTGGTGATCCCGCATGGAGCCCCATCATCAAAGTGGTCCCAAACAATGCGGATAACTCTGACCCACAGCAGCAGGTAAAGTCCTCTTTTGTTACACCCCTGCCAACTAATCATATTCTTAGTTAGACTTTCAATCCTGTATTTCTGCTTTCAGTCATGAGTATATTATTTGATGCAGTCTTTCTAACATATACCCTGTGTTGGTCCTCTCTCCCCTCAGGTGTGGCCTGGTACCTGGGCACCTCATGTCGGCAACGTGCACCTGAACCACGTCAACTAGAGAGCGTCCACAGCAATCAAACGCACACAGCATGACCCACAGCGCTAACCTGAAATATCAACTGACGAATATGACCGAATAAGACGATGACAAAAAAGAAAAACGTACATGTTAACTTTAGTAGAGACCTGAGAGTGCAGAGCAGAGGTTGAAGAATTGGAAGTTCTCATGACACCATTCTTTAATGTTCCTATCTCAAACAAATAAAGAGGAAATTGGGCGAAAATTGTTATCAGTGTCCTGATGATGCAAACAACATGCGCGATCACCTGTTTAACAGGATCCATTCTCTGCGTAGTTTAGCGATTTTGACTTAAACCCACATACACCGTTCTTGGGCTGCAGGGGGCTCAACATGAAGTAGCTATTTAAACTTGGCCCAGAACTAGATGATGATTACCTAAAGAGAAAGAGAAATCAGAACCTTTTAGAGTGGTAAATACATGTATAATTGTTTACATACTAAAAAGGGTTAAAATGAGAGTAAATTTCATGTCGTATAGTGGCTCTACTTTATGTAGCCTGTATTAATGTGAAATATTTACCTTAATATTCAATAAAAACATTGAAAAGTATTTGTGTTCTTTCTTATGAAACATACTTTTCTTTACTACTACGTCTCTACTATTCTTTCCTGTTGTGACATTAGACTTTTTCACAGCTGGAGTCCTTGTGCAATCTTGAGACCTTCCTTTATGGTTGCAAATTTGCCTTCAATTAATTAATTAGACAAAAATGTTTAACATAAATGACTAATTTACTTGTATAGATGTTTAGTTGAGGGCTTGCCCCTCAAGCCCAATAATACACGAGTAGGATACACCTGTTCAATCTGGCGTTAGACCAACCAGCTGGACATCTTCCATTGGTCTATCTGCAGCCGGAAGAGACGAGTGAGCAGGGACATACATTTTTGAATAAAAATGATTTTTAATGATTTTGGTTCTTTCTTTTTAGAAATATTCAATAATTTCACTGTTGTGAAGTGCTACCCCTCCCACATCAATGGTCTCAACCAAAACACGTAATGTAAAGAAATATGCTTTTGAATAGGTTTAGTGATTTTTATTTTTGTAAAATATGTAATACCTTCACTATTATACACAGGGGTGCACATAACTTTTTGAGTGAGTTACTCAGATGAGTACCAGGAGACAGCGTTTGGTACTCACCTCACACGAAGCGTGGTCCTCCTCAGTGTCTCCTTCGCTGTCCTCTATTTACACTTCTTGCATGCTAAATGATGATGAAGATGCACCTCCCTGTCTCTTTTTAAGCCTTCAATTTGCTTTCTCCAAAACTTGCATTTCCTGAGGCCAAGTTGGAAGATCAAATACTAAGAAATGATCACATGACTTGAAGTCATATCTGATTTCAGATGTGGGAAGTTACTAAGTACACTTCTTCAAGTACTCTACTTAAGTACAATTTTGAGATATTTGTACTTTACTTGACTTTGATCTAATTTATAAAACTAGCTGCACCTTTACCAGCTTTGAGAACACTTTAATGATCAATCATTACAAAACATATCATATATATTATTCTGAAATGGACCAATCTGCACAATGACTACTTTTACTTTTGGTACTTTAACTATATTTTGATGATAATACTTTTCTAATTTTACTTGAGTAACATTTTGAATGATGGGACTTTTATTGTAACAGAGTAACACTCTGGTACTTTTACTCAAGTACAAGATCGGAGTACTTCTTCCACCTTTGTCTGATTTCAAACTCTTCCATTAACACCCTGAGTAAGTTTGCAACTGTGTGTTTCACTGGTTTCACTCCACTTTGTTGTAAATAAAACTGCAGTAGATTGACCACAGAGCGTGAACGTATGAGGGGCCGTACAGGCCGTAATTCATACTGGTCCTCTCACGCACATACATTCTCCTTTTACATACATACATTTTCACTCTTACATACATACATACATTCTCCTTTTACATACATATATTTTCACTCTTACATACATACATTCTCCTTTTACATACATATATTTTCACTCTTACATACATACATTCTCCTCTTACATACATATATTTTCACTCTTACATACATACATTCTCCTCTTACATACATATATTTTCACTGTTACATACATACATTCTCCTTTTACATACATATATTTTCACTCTTACATACATACATTCTCCTCTTACATACATATATTTTATAATATGCATGTCTGAAGAGAATATATGTATGCAAGAGAAGAATGTATGTATGTGTGAAGACAATATATGTATGTAAGAGAAGAATGTATGTATGTGTGAAGACAATATATGTATGTGAGAGAAGAATGTATGTATGTGAGAGAGAAAGTATAGTGGAAACGGAAGGAGTATGGTTGAAACGGAAGGCAGGTCATTCTTGCGCTGTGATTGGCTCAGAAGGTCGAGCGGGGCGGGCTCATGTTCAGAACTTCTGATTTCAAATCAACATAACATGATGGAGGGAGATGAATCGCGTAGATTGCAGCAAGCATTAGGGGTTTTAAGGAACATTTTTGTCAACCCTTGAAACTGTCACATCCCTGGCCAGGTGTCCTTGCGGGTGCGTTCGCTTTACTTATCAGAGCGTGCCGTAAGGGCGGTTACTCTTTGGTTTATAAACTCCCGCCTGGGACGGACTGATGCATTAGATTATGTGCTATATGGAGGGGACTTTGACAGAGTATTTCTCACAAAGTACACAGTAAAAGTACTTCAATGTATTGTTAGTAGCAGTCAAACTAGTACCGAGTTCAACAGTGTCAGTTTTATGAAGAACTTGTGGTAAAATATATTTGTAAAAAGAAAATGAAGAGCTACTGATTTGAAAAAACGGCTCTCTGTATAGTTTAAATCTCCTAACAATGTTGTCCATGTATTCTTCTCCCCTCGAGTCCAACAGTGTCAGTTTTATTAAGAACTTTCAGTAAAAAATATTTGTAAAATATGAAGAGCAGCTGATTTGAAAAGACAAACGCGAGAGACGGCTGAGTGACCGCAGTGCAGAATCGCTGTATAGTTTAAATCTCCTAACAATGTTGTCCATTTTAGACACATGCTTATTATATTTACAGCCTTAATAACATTCATTTTCTGGGCTCAATGTGTGTCTTGGCCGTTTTCGTTGTGATCGCTAAATTCACCTTGTTTCCCCTTGTTTATAATTATGTTCAACGTTCCAAGCAAACGAGTGCTTTTGTTTTGAAATCACTTCCGCGAGTATCGCGCCCCCCCCCCCCTCGCTACAATGACCATTAGACCATTTAGTAAGGTAAAAAGCAAAAACGCCTCGCAGACACTCTTCCGTTTACTTGTTTAATAAAGAAAAACAAGTGGTCCGTAGATACACGGAGTCATCTAACCCTAACCCTCTCCCTCCATCATGTTGATTTTAATCAGAAGTTCTGAACATGAGCCCGCCCCGCTCGACCTTCTGAGCCAATCACAGCGCAAGAATGACCTGCCTTCCGTTTCAACCATACTCCTTCCGTTTCCACTATACTTTCTCTCACACATACATACATTCTTCTCTCACATACATATATTGTCTTCACACATACATACATTCTTCACTTGCATACATATATTGTCTTCACACATACATACATTCTTCTCTTGCATACATATATTCTCTTCAGACATGCATATATTATAAAATATATGTATGTAAAAGGAGAATGTATGTATTTAAGAGTGAAAATATATGTATGTAAAAGGAGAATGTATGTATGTAAGAGTGAAAATGTATGTATGTAAAAGGAGAATGTATGTATGTAAGAGTGAAAATATATGTATGTAAAAGGAGAATGTATGTATGTAAGAATGAAAATATATGTATGTAAAAGGAGAATGTATGTATGTAAGAGTGAAAATATATGTATGTAAAAGGAGAATGTATGTGCGTGAGAGGACCAGTATGGATTACGGCCTGTACGGCCCCTCATAGTATGAATTACGGCATGTACGGCCCCTCATACAATTCTGTTGTTCATACCGACGTTAACCCTGTCTGTGCACACGGCGACCAACTCTGTTGTCCGGTGATCTAAGGCTTCATAGTTAATTAATAACTAATAACCAATTAATTAAAAGTATTTTTTCCGAATTTATTTGTGTTCAGTTAAAGTTGACAAGCATATGATTATATTAGCAGCAACATTTTGATTTGTTTAATATTCAATGAATATGTAATGATGCTTAGTGAGGACATGCATAGGCCTATGTCTGTCTAAAACTAAGACAACCCATTTAAAAAAAACAATCTAGCACCTGATTCAGAGAATCACCCAATACTGTAAGGTTAAAAATAAATTAAACAAAGTTAGAAAAGAGCAAGCGAACCTCCACCCTGCTCTGATGACGTGTACTCTTTATTTAACAGTGAAATGTTGGACATTTTAATTTCTGTTGTATTGTTTGCACAGCACCATGCACAGCACATAGCGGGCGACTGGCGCCAGGAGGAGGTATACAAATGCTCGCGACACTCATGGCGACACCCCTGACTTTGCGACTTTTATTGTGAAGTGAAACCGGAAGTGTAGATCTTTGGTCTGGCAGTCTCAGGTAGACATGGCGGCGTCTATAGCTACAGCGGTCCCGGAGAAATCACCTAAATCATCTCCGCCTGAGTTTGTGCCCTTTGACTTTTCTAAGCCCCCGCTTATCGATGGCTTCAACCCTTTGGGCAAACTCAAAGATGAGACGCTAAAAGAAAAGTTACTGAGAAAGACAAAGGATAACCCCTTCGTCCCGATAGGTGAGTTATACAAGCTGAGCAAAGTTACACAAGTGCAGCACAGAGCAGAAACAGCGTGTCCTTTACTCTACAGTGGGCTCCAATCAAATATATCTAATAACATTTAAAGCTATACCTACCTCAACTGATGGAAGCATGCTAGACAACAGTAACGCATCATGCTAACATCAGAGAAAAAGGGGCTAGCCTAATGTCTTCCTTTTTGAGTCAGCACAAAAACAAATGTTGTCATTCGAGTTTCGTTCATCGATGACTTGCTTATTTTGTATTTGAAGCTCTGTGAACATAGCTTAAGTTGACCGTGCATTAATTTGAATTCAATTAGCAATGCCCTTGGAAAAAGGTTGTCAAGGTTTAGGTAACACAAACCACAAAAACAAACTTAAAAAAAAAATATATGTCGCATTTTTGTTTTCAAGTATGAAGGTTATTAAATATGCATCTCTAAACTTCTGCAGAAATCCTTAAGTTGATACCCCTCCCTGTCTTAATCACATTTAGAATGGTATTACTAAATAGTGTTAAGCATATGATCTGTGGATTCATATTTCATGAAATATCTCAATATAATTATAGAACTTTTTTGAGTATCTAAATATATTTACATGTTATTGTGTGGTGTATTACATGTTGTCACAAACGTACACAACTATCTGTATGACTATAAGACTCTACCAGCTGGGGAATGTTTTTTAACTTGGCATTAAAGAGCGATTTACCCTTAAATGTGGGGACTTGACAGCTATTAAGACCAACATGTCTAAGTGGTATCATTTATCTATATAATCTGACCCTTACAGCAAGCAAGTATCTGAATATTATTATATTATCTGTGAACTGAAAGGCACTTCAGTATTGCAATAGTATATGACATTAGATTCAGTATCTTCTCATTAAATTGAACTTGTTTTAGGTTAAATTCAACATGTCCAGTTAATATCATCTTTTCTGTTACATTTCTGCTTTGTGTTCTCCAGGCTGTTTGGGAACAGCTGGAGCTCTGATTTATGGCCTCCATGCCTTCAATCTTGGGAAAACCAAACAGTCCCAGCTGTCGATGAGAGGGCGAATCTTCGCCCAAGGCTTCACGGTAGTGGCCCTTGTTTTTGGTATCTTTACCACCACTATGAAACCCAAGGAATGAAGACGGACCAATCCCACACCTCTGCCTATTCATTCTACCCGGAATCAGACGAGATCCAACGGGGAAATTGAACTGATTTGAATAATGTATTATGTTGTCTGCTTTGTTCGGATATACCCATGCTAATGCCAACACTATTTATTGTCATTTGAAAACTGAATTGCTCATGGTGACAACATATTTGACTTTGGGCTTGCGCTATGTAACAACAAAGTATAATCGGCTCCTTACCAACAAGCTGGATTTTACTTTTGTTGTACTCTAAAAGCATTTAAGCAAAATGTCGATAAATATAAATGACATACTTATTGCTCTTCTAGAAGCTTTATTTGAATTGTTCAGTGTGTTGTCACTGATATGATCAAAGTGCCACCTGGCTGATTACAGACTTTAATTTCAAGCTGGTGTCCTGTGTGATTTGAGATAAAGCATCACAATCCCATCTGTGATCAGGGAAATCTATTCCTTATACAACCTTTATTTAACATGTTACTTCAATCATTGTGAACCGTGTCTGTGGCCTGGATGAGTAGATCTAAACACATTCTTAGACAGACCCATTCTCAATGTCAGCCCTTTACACTTGGCAGACTTTCCATTTAACTTAAATCTTTCAGTAGGAGGGCTCTAAATGTTGTATTAGAAAATGTTACCCATGCTAAAATGTGTGGCTTTGCACCAGTAAACGTGCTTCTCAGATTCCCATGTATTTATTTTTACCTTAAAATGATTGGTGTATATACTCTAAATCAGGGGTGTCAAACTCAATTTCATCGCGGGCCACATCAGCATTATGGTTGCACTCAAAGGGCCGGTTGTGACTTTAAGACTATATAAAAATACATATATAATGTATTATATTACATTATTGCCTCTGCATTGGATTATCATCGGATAGGGTAATAACTTCATTATTAACTACGTCTGAAAGCAGAAGTCTAGGGCCAATCAGAGCCGTATAATAGAATTCTCTCTATATGGCGCTGGGGCCAATAATTGCAAGTATCTTCCGTGTGAATGTCACAAAATGAGATGCATTGTGGAACATGTAGTTTATGGGCAACACGTCATGTAACTGTATAATAAACGTAGTATATTCTTTCAGAGCTCTTGTGGGGCCACATGAAATGAAGTCGCGGGCCGGATTTGGCCCCCGGGCCTTGCGTTTGATACCCCTGCTCTAAATGGATATTTGCACCATCCTCAAAGTATAGCTGTAAATCATCAACTTGGATTTCAATGATTAGCAGTCTTAGCTGGGAAATATACAAGGACACGATAATTTAGGTGATCATACTCCACTGTTTTTATTTTCCAGTTCCCTTTTGACATTCACTTGTTTCAGTATTAATTATGTCCAAATAGGCAACATGTGAAACAACGTGCTGACTTTACAGTTCAAATGGACACATTGATTACGGTTAACAAATCTAAAACATCTTGGTGTAACACAGAAATGGAGCGTAAAACTTCTGCTGAGAAAATCAGAGAAATTAGAAATCGCACAAACTATTTATCAAATTAACTTTGAAAATTTAGATGAGAAATCTTTGGTTGTGAATGTCTTGTTTCTCTGAAATCTTGCCTAATCAAGAGGAAATCCATCTGGCTGAATATTCAAACTGGAGCAAGAACTACATCAAAAAGGCCACACGCTTGTGAAATTGAAAGATAACCATATGCTAGCTACGTTGAATATTGTAATCAGGGATATCGTACAACCATGTGATCAGACTTTGTGGTTAAATCAACGTTGATGAGGCATAAGCGGTCACAATCTAACACGCAATAGTGCTTAATAAGTGTTTGTCATTGACCAAAATGCAAATGTATACAATTTAAATGTGTGCATCCAAAATATTTGCAAAGGCATGCAAGAAAACTGACCTAATAACAGTTTATAAGTTAAAGGGAAATACAAATATTTAACTTACAATAACAATACTTTCTTAAGTATAGCAGTGATAAAAGTGACAGCGAAAGCATGTCGTAACAATAGAGCAGTCCTTCATCTTCTCAAGAGAGTGGGGTTGAGTATATTATCTCAATATAATTAGTAGGCATCAACAAAGGAGTGAAGTTTTCAAAGCCTATAAACATACCAGGAATTTTATGGAAAAGGGCATAGAAACTCTTCTGATGTAACGTGATGTTAAAACTGAAAAGGCAAATGTTTCTAGAACAACATTCTCTCCACGAGCTCCTCTAACGGACTAGAGGTGTCTGTTTGAGAGAGATGAGAACAGAACGCATTCGAGAGACGTCCTTTGCCGTTTTGTTGGTTTTGGGATTGAAGTCACAGAGCCGGGCCACTCTCTCCCATTCTGATCCTGGGCTCTCACCGTCGGTCTCTGCCAGGAACGCCTCCTCGGATGCTCTGCAGGAGGGAGGGAGGGACACCAGAGACAAGCTATGACTGGGCTGTAATATTAGAGGGACTTTAGAACGATTTCCAAACCAGACATGGTGCTTCAATCACATGAATTGAACCATGCATAACATTCAGCAGAACTTCATGCGTCTCTTTATACCAATCATAGACTTTGTTGGAGACATATTTATGTTTGATAACCAATGGCTTATGTAACCAACACACACAAATGCAGAAAATACCAAATGAGGTCTTCAAAAACAAGTCATTTTAGTGTTTGGGCATGCATAAGGTGAAAAACAACTATATGGAATTCCCTGAACAACATTAAAAAAGCGTAAGAACTCTAAACCTACACAAAGCCTATAACATCAGAGTTAGGCTGTTTGTAGAAAGCCTTGTCAGCAATCCTATTGCACAGGCAAGGCCAAGAAAGCAGGAAAAAGAAGGAGAGAGGAGATTAGTTTCAGTGTCAAAAAGAAGCAGAGAATAGTTAGGGCCCGAGAAACAGTTCTAAGGATTAGTGAATAAAATGTTTAAGGTGGACTGAAAGTAATCTTTCGCACTACTGTTAAACTGGTGCTGCTGATAAATACATTTAGACAGGCGAAGCACTTAAGGCAACTACAGTGTGCTTTGGGGCTAAGCTTTAGCGTAGATGAAAAATATGAAATGTTCTCTTTGCATTCCTGTTAGCTTCCTGTTTTGTTTACTGGACACACAGCCTTGGACTAATATCTCCTCAGAGGATTATTTTATCAGCGCTTTCACAGACACAGGGGAGAGGAAATTGGCGAAAGCTAGAGCTACAGATGCAGAGTGATACCGTGCTAGACTTGGACAGAGTCTGTTGGAAAGTGTGAGAGAAGAACGGGGTTAGCTTGGTCAAGAGAAGAAGAGGTTGCAATGTTTTGTAAGAATAACGGGGGGGAAAACTGGACCCAGACTAAAACACACATTTTAAGTGGTAGACAGTCTTTATACTAACAATAAAACACATTAAATCAGCAATACTATCAATAATTTCGAACACAAAACTGTTACACTTTACGACGTCCTTTAACATTTGATCCTTTGGTGCAGACCAACAGGATTATTTGAACTCCCTGCATAGCTCATTAAAAAAAAATTGTTCACCAAAATGTTACATATCCCACCAAACATAATAAAGTCTTATACCAAATATACAACAGTGCATTCCAGTTAATATGCACAGTAAAACAATGTTTCGAAGGGTTTCTACCAGTAAAATATACTCTTAATGAAATGTGTTTGGTGTAGTGATTACAGCATTACGTTATCCTAATGTTACACTATTTCTGTGCACGCGTCTGACACTAACCTGTTGTTGGCCTTGTTCTTCTCCATCTGCTCACTCTGATGGACATGCCAGTCCTCCAGCTCCCTTTTAGCTTTCTCTTTCCACTCTGCCTCTGCTGTCTTGGAAGCCAAGTCTTTTTAAGGAGAAAAGGCAAAGAAAAACAACATAGTCAGAGTCCTCAGGAGAGGAATCTAAAATATCCGACATATTATAAGGTCTTAGTTTCACGCAATTAGATAGGCTGCATCATTTGTCTTAATAAGGTAAACTGCAAAAAGACTAAATCACAGGGACTCATTACAGCTGCTAAGTAGGAAGGGCATGACGACGCAGTACGATTCATTCTTTGTTCACCTAGTGCTTCAAGGCGTGTCTTCTGCTCCTCCCTCCATTTGCGTAAACTCTCTGGCTCTTGCCTCTGAATATCCACCTGGGCAATGGCTGCATAGCTGTCAGTCGGGCCATTGGGCTCCTTTTAGAGGACATAAAACATTTGCTCCATTATAAACAACAGTCTATTTAATTTCAAATACTAAGTAAACTGTAAATCCATCACGGCATGAGATGAAGTAATTCCAATACAAACAAAAAGGAAAGGTCTCCTTATTGATTTCATGGTGTTCAGATTTAAACCAAACCACACTTACAAACATATATATGTTGCCAATAATTACATATAATTGAATAATAAGATTAAAGATGCACGTTAAGCTCACCTCAAACATGTCCCCATTCACCGTGACAGGCTCGTCCTCGAAACCGTCTAACATTTTGACAGGAAAGAGTAAGTATATGTTAGTGTTAGCTAACCTTCCTCATCATCTGGGTTAACTAATGGCTGCTAGTATGGCAGTGTGACTTTGTTCCTCAGATAAACTTAGACCTGAGAAATGCAGCGGCACCTGTTTGGCCACTAACGTTCATGTTGTCAGTGCAGCTTTGTCAGGAAACAGAACAAGTTTTTACCGTAGAAGTGTACAGTCGACTTAGCTAAAATAATTTATCTCTATCAACACTAACGTTTGCTATATACTGTTACCATCAGAGGTGTAAGAAGTACTTAGATATTTTACTTAAGCAAAAGTACAAAAGTATTGGCACCAAAATATACTCAAGTACAAAAAGTAAAAGTACTTATTGTGTGAAATGTCCCATTTTAGAATCTTAATTACTGGAGAATAATTATTGCTGCATTAATGTGTTCATCAGTAGAAAGTACAATATTGGCTTACAAATTGAAGCAGAGTAAATTAAAATTCTCAAGTACATGGACCCCAAAATCGTACTTTAGTACAGTACTTGAGTAAATGTACTTCACTACATTACACCACTGGTTACCATTCATTCTTTCTCGACCATAGACATGTTTGAATATTGCCCCTTCCCTCACATTATCTCAATCATGACCATCAGCACTAACGACACTGTACCGTTTCCATCCTGTTACATTCATATTCATACTGTTATACCCATCTATTCTTATGCATATTGATATATGTATACACCATACTCTAGCCTGCTTTTAATATATCTTATTTAGTTTTGGATTAATCATGCAGCACATCAAGCATTTTTATCCTGGACTGGAATGTTTTCATTTATGTCAGCTTATATTTTTAACATTTCTTATATGCTAGTTTATATGTTTGTTTGTATGTATAGTTTCTTAATATTTAGGTGTGGAGAGCTGAGCGTAAGAATGTCAGTGCAACTGCCTGGTATACTGTATGTATGACAATCATATATATTGAATCTTGACAGTTTATCATCCGTATCTAATGTTAAAGCAGAATGTGCTGTGGAATTATCCAAGTGACGTTGCGTTGTCGGTGTGCAAACGAACGTCAGCTAGCTAAGTTACTTACAAAGCTAACTTAAAATTAGTTGTATTGAAAATGCGCTCAATAACAAAACCTCACTACCACCTAAGGAGTTTTGTTAATGTATAGGGATGGGGTCATTGTTTCCTAACAGACGTTTACTATCAGTTCAACGTTATTCATAATAGCTAGCTTTTGTTAGCTTGTTAGCCGAAACTGACATTAGCTCTAACTTGCCATAGTTGGCCGCCGGCTCGGGCTCCGGCTGAGGCGGCTGCTCGTCCTCCGCTGCTTCGAGAGACCCAAACCCCTCGCCGTCGTTCTCGATCCCGGCTATCTCACTCTCCTGTTGAGCCAGGAAAGCTGCGGCTGGGTCCTCTTCAGTCGGGTGTACGCCGTTGTCAGCCATCTTTCACAAAGTGTTTACAAGTTTCACTGAGCTTGGTAGGTTTAGCTAGCTAACGTCAAAGCACTCCAATTAGGCCACCGGTTCTGCAGCGTTAATACCAACAACGTAAATGTCTTACTCGAATCCTAGCTAGTCCAAATTGTGTTCGGTAGGAAACTAGGCACACAAAGAAATAACCTGTTTTGCAAGATTTTAGCTTCGACTTTAGGCCTTCACTGATGATTCATGATTTCTTCACTTGTTCAGCACTGTGATGATGGAGCAGGGCAGCACCCTGAATGTACCATTTCACATTTGTTGCAGTTTGTCCCCATCTGCTGGCCATCTCATGCATTATTTTTAGCCACCAGGCTTTGAGATGCATTTGATCACAAAAGCTGCACAACATGATCTTAAAGGATGATTTAAATATTGCTGTTAACTATGCCATACACAACATCTTTTTATATAGCACATTAGTCACATTGTATACACTAAATGCACATCATCAGCCAATTAAACAGTTAAAAGATAACAGTAGCCTACTTGTACTGCACATTATAAACACCTTACTTCTTATTCCTAACTGCTATAAATATTGATGGAATGGACCATATAGTCTATGAATGAGACATATTACTGTTCGTCATAAAAAAAAAAAACAATGTGTCATTTTGCCAATGGAAATAAAGTAATAAAGTAGTTCCAGTGTCATAGAGAAATAAAGGACACAAAGAAACCGCATTGACTTATACACAGATCCATAACCAAACTAAGAAGGAAGTACCTCTTCAAATACTATTTAAAGTGCAGCATTATGTTTTATTTTATTTTATTAGTATTAATAAGCAGTTATACTCATTTAATATAGAAAACCATTTTTTCAAATGGGTAAAACCTTTAAAGGTTGCCTTTTCAGAAAGTGGTGACCAGCAATTTTGCAATGCTGGTCTAGGTGATGCTGAGCTATGTTGTACTATTTATTTAGCATAATTATTTTAAGCAAATTTCTGTTCAAATTTCGTTTTTATTTTACTTTTGGAGGTAACATAAGGGTAAAGCTGCCTAATCAGTAGTTGATTGCACGCACCTGTGGCTTATTATTCATTATAAATTCTGTTGAAATTACGATACACCTATGTTTGGTGAACTCAGAATTCTCTGCTAAATAGTCCAGTTATTGTTGAAAAATGATACATAGTTTCCTTTTTTTCAAGAAACAAGAAGCCATTTTTGTATTCAAAGTGGTATTTAAAGTCATTATGATGGATATAGTTTGGCTCTACATGGTTTAACAGCTGAAATGTCTGCAAAGCACGGCCTCTTCTGGTTAATAGCCCGAATATGAAATGAAGCAGCTGCCCATGTGACTTCTGACGTTTCAGCCGAGTCCTTCTAAAAGGAATGTGAGGGAATGATCCTGCAGCTCACCAAAGGGAACCACGGTGGCTTCCTGACGTCCGCTTTAAGGAAGTGCGAAAGTTAGCCTATACTTACCGATTGACTTTTTATCCACTAGACTGACTCGCGATGTCTGGAGAACACATCGAAGGACAAGAGGTGAGCGCTTTTATATATCCAGACATGTGAATGCATTCCTTCGTGAGTAGGAATAACTTGAAAGCCAACTTTTTCACATTTTGAGTTTTTGTATGGGTTGTGTTGTCCTTCTAACTTTGCATTTTATGGTTTTCGGCTAGCTGCTCTGAACCACCGTCGGTCTAACTACTTAAAGACAGTTTTCCTGTCCTTTCCTGCTACTTCCATAGTGAATGTGAATGGTTTATTTCAAGTTCTGCATTGCAGTGGTTTAGCAGTCTTTAAATACCAGCTAAAAATGAATCTTGGACACACTTGAATCAATCAAAAGTAAGATAAATAAGTCTATAAATAGATTGCCTTCAAGAAATAAGTGTCTAATTTCTTAAAAGTACTAGTTCCTATAGAAATATAAAATGGACACCATAGATTATTAATAGCAATGGGCTACCATAAACAGGGACCCCGTCGCTTGAATGAGTACCACAGGCAATGCTGCTCTATGTCGGCTATTGGCTTAGGGTTGATGTGGTTGGTATTTAATTAACCAAATTGCACCAGTCTTCATGCAGTAACTGTCTTATTATAATATGCTTAAAACAACAAAGTGATCCATTTGAAATGTACCCTTCATTACTTGTAGTTGCTATAGCTTTTTCCCTTCCCCCGTCCCCATTTTTTAAGTTTATCAAACATTATAAAAATGAGGTGAGATGAGGTAACATGGGAAAAGAGACAACAACTTATCCAAGTTTGGTAATAAGGACTGTTTATGCCATCCAGAACGTGTATTGACATTTAGTTTTGAACATAGACAAAATAAATAGACACAGATTAAAACTGATTATTGTTTTGATTTAATTAGCATTTTTGCAGGTTTTGTGGATGGGGTTGAAAGGGAAGCTGGGCTGGTTGCTTTTTACAATACGTTTGAAAAATACCATAATGCTATTTTTGTATGAGTTCAGTTTCAGTTTTTACTACACGTAAGCCCCTCTGTTACTTAAGAACTTTATGTTAAAAATGTAATTGCTAGTTTGGTTGTACTTTGCTTCATGCCCTGCATAAGGAATGTAGAGTTCCAAAAGTCGTGGCCGTCTGCTGCTTCTCAAGTACACTTTATTAAAAAACAAATCCATTGACTCTGCTGTTGTAGGCTTTTGCCAGTATATAGGGGTAGTTGACGATACCTCTACCCCCCTCTCTCTGTGACTCATGCGGGTGTTGGGCTGAAATAGTTCGGTGTAGTTTTACATTCCTTATATAGCCTCTGAGGAGTGAGCGGAGGCTAGGGCTCGCCTGTGTCACAGACAGTGTCAGGGTAGGGTTTGCCAACAGAGAGAGAATCTGCTTGCCCTAGCTTACTGACTCTAACTTTCTCCCAGCATTGGGTTATCAGCCACCCCTTGAGGATAAGGTAGGTTTGCGTAGGTGGCATTTTGGGAAGCTAGCTATGTGTCATGGAGGGTGATGACACCTGGGAGAGTTTAGGAGGAGGAGCGAGATGTGTGTTAGGGTGCAGGTACAGAGGTCACTTGCACAGCCGTAACTTGCAAGGAAGAGCAAGTGACGTAGCCTGATGTCTCAAGTTGCCTCTGGTTCCTAAAATTACCTCGTTATTTAGTGACTTGCCATTCTATGCCTCTGATCAGTTCTGCTGAAGTTAGTTTCAAACTGTTTGCATGGTTTCAAAGCTACGCAAATGTCTGTGAACTATGTCAAATACAAATAAATGTCAAAAAAAGTGTGCATATTGTGGGCCAATGTTTTATTTTGGCTCACTTTAAATGGTTGAATTATTATTACAAGAAATAAAATCACTTTTGTATTGTCCAGTAGATGTTCGGTGGTACTCTTTTGTATTGTTTATGTTTGACACTGAGTTGGCCGTCTATATGAAAGCTATGAAGATTATGACGCAAAGGATTTCATCCTATTAGTTTGTATTTTAATAAATGTACGAACATTATTTCCCAGGGGCCGATGCGGTATTTTATTGCCTTGACATGTTATTACAAAATTGACTCATGTAATGCATTTTTGTAACAAAGATAGTACAGAAAAATATTTTCACACATTTAACATTATGTTCTCTAACAAAACCAACAACAATTGATGCCAGTTTCTGTATGGAATGTGTTTGTTTTGGAAATGAATGCACCCAACAGGCAGGATGGAGCAGAAAATGACCTTTTTTTTCCCGGGCTTTTTGACTAATTAAGACCATGTTTCCTCTTTTCTCTTTCCCAAGGCTATGAACATATACTCTGTAAACCTCAGTGGCCCGGCGCCTTGGGGCTTCAGGCTGCAGGGTGGCAAGGACTTCAGCATGCCCCTCACCGTGTCTAGGGTAAGAAACTATTAGTCAGCTTTGTACTTCCTCGCATCTGTTAGCATTGATGAATTTACTCTCTTAGCATTTGGGTGAAAGATTTTATTTATTTTTTATTTTCAGTCTTTATTTTGAACAGATTAAAAAAAAAAAAATAACAAATGTGAAAAACAGAATACCGTATTGTTATAATACAGTATTTATCCACATTCATGGTAATATTTGTATATTCAACAAAAAAAAAGACTTCATATTAATAATAATAATAATAAATCATATGTGTCCGAAAGGGAGTAGGAGGAAGCAAATGCTTATTAATTCCCACCCCTTACTTGATCAATGATTGTCCTTTAAATCATTATGCAAGTTATTCCTACATACATTTACATGTATACATATACAATAATTTCTCATCTTCAATCACCTTTCTTCATTCTCATAGTTTTCCAAAAAAGTGTTTCTGTACATCCTTTTAAACTGAATTATGCTTGTGCTTTGTTTAAACTCCTGCTCCAAACCATTCCATAAAATCACCACACAGATTGTTATACTCATACTTCTCAGAGTTGTTCTGACCTTGAGTTGTTTCAAATGTAGATTTCCTCTCAAATTATACCCACCCTCTCTGTCTACGAACAATGTTTTTAATTTCCAGGAAGTAGATTATGTCTTGCTCTGTACATGATTTGTGCCGTTTTAAATTTAACCAGATCAATGAACTTCAATATGTGTGACTTCAAAAATAATACATTAGTGTGTTCAAGATATCCAACATTATTGATAACTCTTATAGCCCTTTTTTGTAATGTGCATAACGGCTGTAGGTTGGTTTTGTACGTGTTTCCCCAAATCTCCACACAGTAAATCAGATATGGCAATATTAGTGTGTTATATAGAGTATGCAATGAGTTGTAGTCCAGAATGTATCTGGCTTTTTCCCAATATTGCGATTGCCAGTTTTGCTTTTACCTCATATCAATCATGTAAAAGCAAAACTGGCTAAAACTATCGCAATAATAACAAAGATCATCCTGTAAAGTAATTTATGTCCAAGCTTCTAAATAAAAGCCTAATATTTCCAAGCGTTTGTTGTTAGCTCCACATAATGACCCTCATATATTTTCTGGCCTGCGCAGTATGGGAGACTGTTTTGTTCATTTTCATATCATTCACATTGTTATGGTGAATATACCAACCCATATCCAGTGGATCTTAAGATGCAATACATTTGGATTGAAATAAGTCATTGGTCATGCACATGCTGTTTGTTTTGCAATGCTTTCTACTCTCCATGTTAGTCATTGCTGTTTTACTGAATTAATTTGAGATACTCTACAAACTGTTTCTATTGAGGAGAGCAGCAACCACTTTCCAGGCCTTATAAGTGCAGTGCTACTTTGCCTGACAAACACAGTCTCCCTCGTGCAGCCACACACACATGCACACACATAAAATCATTCCTACGTTGCTGCTGCCAGCAAACTGCGCACACAGAACTGACATTCTACTAAGCACTCATTCCTTGACGACATTGTTATATTGCTACCTTTGTCCTATTATCAATAATGTTCAACTAAAGAGATATTTAAGAGTTAAAGGTAATGAAAAATGGGTTGGGCCTCACAACATTCTTTCAAACTCTTTCAAACTCTTTCATTTCGTTTTTTTGTAGCTGCCAAATAAAAAGCTTTGAACGCATGATGCCCTTTTTTTTAAATCTTGGTTTGATTTGTATGACCAACGGAGTCCAGAGGGTCTCCATGGTAGCATTAAATGAAGTCTGTGTAAAGTTGATGTAATCTTGTGGCGAAGGCAGCAGTTATCACCATTCTTGTTAGTACATGTCCTGTTCCCTGGCAGGCATCTGAGTCTAAAACACAATGTTCCCCTTGGATTCATGACAACAAACATTCTCTTCCACTCATAAAAGAGCAAACAGATGTATAACCCCATCTGACTAATTGCCCAGAAGAAAACCGGGATCATTGGTGTGTATAGGACTTGAATAGGAGGACTGGCAAGGTGTACTGTAGGTTGAATTTCAGCAGTTGTGTAAGTAGTTAATAGGTGTTAATAGGTTGAATAATCCTGACTAATCAGCCAGTGCAGGTGGCCAGTTTTCTGCAATCCAGGTGCATTAGACATGCTGATCATTTCCTCTGACAGAAATGTGGCTCTCCTTTTCTGTATTGCCTTTCCTTTCCAGTCTCTTTGGCATTTTGGTAGTGTACTTCTAGGATTGGATCATTAATGACTGGTCACTGGGCGAATACCTTTGAGGCGTGCTCCAGCAGTCCACCAGACCTCAGGCTACAGAAGTTAAAGATGTGACAGGGTTTCTCTCTTTATACTTCTTAGGGACTAGTGCCATGACTTGCGTTTGTCATAAAAGACTGGACTGTGAATCACAGTCGCAGAGGATGAAACGGCACAACCAGGGGATGTAAACCTCAAAGATTTACAGTCCCCGGGAAGAAAAAAATATGGCCTGAACTCTCTTGGCTCAAATGTAATGGGTGGTCTTTTTTGCTGGTATGTAGCTAATGAGATAAGAATCCAGACATTAGGTAAAAAGCATTAGCCCAGCGAGGTACATGTTGAGTGACAGGACAAAAGGCAGTAAAATGCTGGTGAAAAACGGCAAAGAGATTGCATTTATTTAAAGCTCATGTTTAAATAAAACCAATTCATTTGAGTTTGTCATATGGTGGCAGATCTTTGTATTTGGGAAGTTTTGAGACGTCTTAGCTCCTGTGTGTGAGACTGAGTTGGTATAAAGGTTTCCATGCTCCATGAATGCTCTTTTTTCCCCCTTCCTCCTCTGTCTGCGAGCCTGGAGAGCTATGCTTTCTCAGCATTCCTGGGATTTTTCTCGTGTCCACCCGGTCGCCGCCAACAGACAATCCTCTTGTCTTCTTCTGTGTCTAATGTGTCTTCCACACTCACTTTTGCCAAGCATATGACAGGACTCTCCCAAACTGTAATAGTTTTTCAGTGAGATCAGAGGAAAGGAGACCATGCCAAGACAAACTGTTGAGTCCCAGTGGAAGGAAAACATTTCTTTTGTGACCTTAGCATAATATGTATACACCCATTTATCATCTAAAAAAACCACACTTTTATTCAACTCTTTTTAGTATTAATATCCTACTTTTTATTTTGAGATAGCAGATGTATGAACACTTATAACAAGTTAAGTCACTCCAAGTGCTCTTGACCCTTCACCATGCTATTAAGAAAAATCAAAAGAAAGACAAATAAAGACAAAGCAATGCCTTTCTCTTTTAGTTTAATGACTGCAATGCCATTATATCCATTTCTAACTGACAAAGTAATACTGGAAACAGCCATGTGAGTCAGTAGAGCCTCGACCCAGCCTCAGATGAACATCATTTGAATGCTGCTTTGCACTGGTGAATAGACATTTCTATTAGGGCTGGGAGGGTATTGTTATTGGCAAGTGGTACTCAAGCGAATTGAGTATTGCACTTCTATTACGTTTCGAGACTTGTGAGAGACCTTTCTGAAAAAATGGGCAAATATGAAGAAGCAGAGAAATCCTGATTTTTATACTTCCTACGGGTCCAATTCTAAAAACACTGGATCCAAACAACGAGGCTTCATTATGCCTTTCTTTACTAACGTTACATTTCAAGCTTCAAGTTTGTAACACAGGGTTACTGTCTGTTAAAACCTCATTATACTTGAACACAAAATATATTTTTTTGTATGAAAGGGTTAAACGTTGCGTAAGCTACGAGTCTATGCGTCTATGAAAGCTGCCTCTGAAAAAGTTAAGACAGTCAGTCAGAGTTGATAGTTTGATCCTCGCTCCAGAAATAGCCTACTTTGTCTTTACCCTTTCCTAAACAACCTTGTGCCAACTTGTTTTCTTGAATTTCTCAAGACTTCTATGACTTTCAAAAGCCTGAGTTACTTAAGTAAAATTATATCTCTCCACATGTCTACACCGACATCCTGTGATCGTCATATATAGGAAGCAAGATGTCGTAGTTCGGCCGTTTCATTGGAGTTTCCATAGAGTCTCTCCCAGTCTGGGGCAGGAACTCCTGAGGAGTTTCTTCATATATCTGTCCCAGATCTCGTGCCATGGTGATTCCATGAACAATATGATACCATTTTTTAAATTTTTGTTATTTAACCTTTATTTAACCAGATAAAAGCATTGAGATAGAATCTCATTTGCAATGCTGACCTGGCCAAGAAGGCAGCAACGTTACACATAACACAAACATATAAAATACAGAGAACATAACTAAGAAAACAAAAGACGAAAAAGCAGTCACTACATTGTGCACATTAGGACAGTAAGCAAGGTGCACTACTTATTACTGCAAGAGCAGCTAGTGGTAAGGACTTCAGACAACTTCAATTTTAAACAGGCTATTGGGACAAGTGCCGTCAGTTTGAGGCATGATTGAAGGTCATTCCAAGACCAAGGACCATAATAAAAAGGACTCCTTTTCCCAGCAGGTACCTGGAACCGTATCCAGGCACTGGATTTGAGGTTGTGAGAGTCACAAACTGGAGCAAATCTGGCACATATGTAGAGTGGAAGCTTACCTAAAATGGCTTTATACAATAATAAAAACCAAAGCTGCATCCTACGCATACTAAGTGAGGACCATCCAGTTAGGCTATACAGTTTGCAATGATGAGTCCTATAGGGTGCACTTGATATATATCGCAGTGCAGCATGGTAGAGTGGGTGAAGTTTGGCCAAAACAGTGGGACAGGCAAATCTATAAATGGTATCACCTAGTCCAGCTGGGACAGGAATAAGCCAGAGACCAACCTTTTACGGGAAGAAATTGAAAAACAACATTTAAGTCTGTAAAGGAAGCCAAGAGTGAATTTCAATTTCTTTGTTAGAACTTCAATGTGGTGTTTGAAGTTCAGATTACTGTCCAACCAAAAGCCAAGATATTTGTAGGTATCGACAAACTCAACAGAGACGCCATCAAGGGTGTCAATGGAGAGGCAAGAGGACGCTGACTTGGGAGCAAAAAGCATTGCTTTGGTTTTCTTACTGTTCAATAGCAGTTTGGAATCGAGAAGTGCATGCTGCAGCGTGATAAAATCACCATAGCGCAGCCTCCTGCGTACCATCTGGTTTCTATCATTTAAAACATACCACTACCCTGAAATCAAACTCTGGGAGGAAATTACAGATGATGTCAAGTCAATAATCTGTCTGTCCACCAGTACATCTGGATGTGTCATCGAGTCTTATATTCCTCTTTCTCTGCGTGTGTCTCCATCTGGTTCGTAGGCCATCTGTTACTTTATCGCTTGTGTACTCTTTAAAGACTCCCCCTCTCTCATACACACACATACTCCACCCCCCCCCCCCCCCCTCCCCCCAACAGGAGGCCCTGTTAGAGGGGGGAATTAATAATTCAGTACTTACTGATAGATTACCTGCAGGGAGCATTTATTTTGTGGCTAGTTGGATGTGAAAGTCTAATGTTGTGATCGGGGCAGCAGTGTTTTAAGGTGAGTAAGTGCTAGGTGTTCCACTGCAGCCGTTTCAGGGGGACTACATACTTGAAGGTTTGGTTTTCCATTTCTCAGAGGGATATTTATGGCTTTGCATCAGCTGTGCTGTGCGAGTGATGTAAGGACAGACTGTCTCTCGGCCCCCAAATAGCAGTGGAAAGAATAAAAGTGAGCTGGGGGCAGAGTTACATGGCCAGAATATCTACAGCTTTAGATAAATCCTAGTGCATTATTAGTTCAACCAAAAACAAGAGCAGCCAGCCCGGAGCGAGTGTGAGGTCCTGGCTCACCTGTAGGGTTAGTCAAGGGAAGCGCTTCAAAGTTGAATTCAAGACGCTGCATTTTGAAAGGTTGGCTCATACTTTGAAATTTGATAACATACCAAAACAGTTCTTGTGCTGTGCTCTGCCAAAAGGCCTTGAAACACGCCATTAACTGTTCAGCTAACCCTGTGGTTGCAAATTCCTTTTTGATCTATAAACATCATGCCATTAGTGTGAGGCGAGTTACAATCATATTTGCACCAAATACTTTAGGAGTTTTCTTTTTTGTGCGTTACTTGAGTCAGAGGAAAGCCATTGCTGCTATATGATGTTATTGTGCACCATGGCTGCTCCATCATGTCATATCTGTAGTTGTTTAAGGTTCAGTGCAGTGTGTTGCATTCAGGAACATGTTTTCCACTGTCCTTCGCTGTATTGACAAACTGCTTGGGGGGTATAGGGTTTCCATCCGCCCCCTACCACTCAAAGGTCTGAGCACAGCAACTTGAACTGCTGCCTTCTCAAGTAAGGCAGCAGCTGCACCCTGAACCTGAGCCAGGAGCACAGGTGTCTGCGTCCATCAGTCACCCAGCTCACATGCACATACATTTGAAATCCACAATCTGTGTGACTTCTGTATGTAATTGTAATTCTGTTTCTTTTAAGTTTAGATTTAGATTATGAATATTCAATTATGTTATTTTAGAGTAAAGACAGGGGATACATTGAAGGCCAAACTAACATAAAATGTCTCAGTAAGAACAGCTTCAGTGGTCCTTGGTATAAATGATGAACATCTACTCATTATTTGTATTTTATCAAACTATTCAATGACCCCTTGTTCTCTATATTAAAACATTTATATCATTTTTTTCTCATTTATTTATTTATTTATAGTTGTTTCTATTTTAGTCTTCTCCTGTGTGTATTTCCAATGTTATTTTATTATGAATAGAACACCTGTTGCTTTTTCCACGGACACATATTCCCACCCCCACTTCAGAGTTGGCCTGCAAAGCTTTTATTGCTTAATTAAAGTTTCATAAAGACTTTTTTATTATTCTTTATGAAAAGATTACATACAATTGTGTGATTTCTGTTCATTTTCTACACCTCTATATTAACATTTAACACCTCATTTATTTATTTTTTTAACAGAGATTTAGCTAGAATTGAAAAGATCCCTTGAGGCTTTTCACACTGCATCTGTGGCTTAGGCTGCATAGTTGTTGTTAAACTCTATTAAAAGCATTGTTTTATTTTGGTAAATGATAAGGTGCTCAACTTTTACAATCCAGTTTAGTAGTAAAAGGGTTCTGCGGCTCTCAATAGTTAACCTTAGTGGCATTATGTCAGGCCGTGCCCCTTTTCAGAATGTGTCATAGTTGTATTTCTCCAGTGTACGCTGTTCAAGCTCTTTTCAGTTCTTCCTTAACTGGAGAAAGTATGTCTTTCTTAATCCCTCTAATTGCTTCCAGGGAGTGCAAATCAAAGGCAATTAAGGTGATGTTTGAACTTGGCTGTAAAATAAGTGTAGCTTGGATTGCCCCTGAGGAATGCATTTCTTCCTTATTTTAGTTTTGATCCAAGGCTTTAACTTTGTTGTCTTTGTCGGGTGCGCATTTGTCTCTCAGCCTGAGCTGTCATCGGTTTACAGAGCATATTACCCTGCTCACACAAGTGTTTATGTTTAATGTGCAGAATCAAAGCGGCAAGTGTGATAGCTTTGCTGAACATGGCAGAAAACCATTGATTGAACCGCAGAGTCCTCTGAGCTTTTGATGAGCTAACATTTGCAGGGATCCATGACATCAGAGTAATCCTAATAGGTTTTTCGCCAGAAATGCTAGCACCCGCTCCCTTATCTGATGCCGCAGAACACTTTGTAATCCAGCTATCGGAAGACTTTGACACAAGTTTCAAGTTTCATTAAGCCGCAGAGGCTGGCTGACTAAGCTCTTACTAAACACGATTTGGCATCTTTGCTCTGTATATTAGACTACACTGACTGCCATGTCCTTCAAAAAAAAAAAACGTTGTACATGAAGAAAACCATTAACTACCTATGTATAAGTCAAGTCCTTCCTGTTTGTAACAAGACTCCAGGCCTCTGCTCTGACTCAAGATGTCAGCAGACTGAGGGACGTCCGAGAGGATGAGGTCATTGTTTTGTCAGAGAAACTAGTCAGAGACTTACCTGTCTAGATGGGTTGTTCCAGTAAATGATGTGACTATTTGTAACATATGGTCCTGTCTGTAGCTTTCAGGAGTTCCTTTCATAGTCACATCTGCAGCAAATCATACGCTGATGACTGATGACATCATGATGACCCATTATGCCTGTTCCCGATAGTGTTGAGTGAAATATCTCGGCTGGCCTGTCAGGCGCAGACACGCAGACTCCCTGGGCTCATTATTAAGAGCCGTCAACAGACAAAAAGTCAACTGAACATGACTTTCAGTGTGTTGAGATGTCCTGCATTTTGCTTTGAACTGATGATTTATCTTGGGTAATTGTATGTTATGTACTCACACACTGACAACTTAAGTACTTTTTTTCCCTCCTTGGTTTGGAAATTATTTTCTCTTTCAGACATAACATGATGACTATAATGACAACATTCAATTCAAATATTGCAGTATTTGGCCCATAGTAATGCGCTTCAATCCCTGAATCTGCCTGTTGGGGCATGTTTTCATCTATGTAACTGTCACAACACCATGTCTTCATGTACCTCTGTCTTCTGTCCTCGTTTCCTTTCTGTAGCTAACCCCGGGTGGGAAGGCAGCTCAGGCTGGTGTCGGTGTGGGAGACTGGGTGGTGTCCATCAGCGACACTAATGCAGAGGACATGACCCATGTGGAGGCACAAAACCAGATCAGAGCAGCAACAGACTCCCTCACCCTCACCCTCAGCAAGTAAGTTATCTGGTGACGTGTGATGCAACAAAAATCTACATGATCACTCCCCCTCCTTTTGTCGGTTTGTATGTCGGTCATACACAGCAGCATAAACATCCTCCCTTAATCTTAGGAGAGATACAATACCACAATGTCCTTGAAATCTGCCTCACCATGACAGATGGCTTCAAAAGACCTTGGTCTAAAAAATATCCTCACTCACAACAAAATGTATTTTTCAAATAATTAATGCTCAACAGAACTTAGACTTGAATTTGTATTTATTTGTGCTGCTGTGAAATAAGTAATTATGTGTGCCAGGAGGTGGTGTTTTCCATCCTGATAGTCCCTTTGTCTATTACAGTAGAGCCAACAAAGTACTATCTTGGTTTTGGTACAGATAATGCTACCATATGGCCATTTATAAAGCACGTTTTGCTTTTTATCATTAATCCTGACCTGTGAGGCTTAGAAGTTATTTATTTCCTGGATTCTTGATCCAACATCTTTGCTTAAGGGTGTGCCCAAATTCCACCCACATAGATTTCACATTTTTGCAGCTTATCCGCTATTGTTCCTTCTACAAATTGTGTCTAATCTTCACATAATTGGAACTGTACAAAGCATATTTTGGTGGTCTATATTTAGGCTTGCTGCCTAGTTGAAACAAATAATGTGATTGTGATCATAGGTAATAAACACACAATGATGGCTTTAAGTGATACATGTAAACAACTAATATTTACAGAATGTAAGTATTCTCCAAAATGATCATGTATTTTGATGCAGATTCAAATGTAGATGCAAGTTTAAAAACTTAAAATTATGGTTTGTTAAAGTAACAAGAGGATAGGTTGGTATTAGAGGTCAATACTCTCTGACCTTTTTCTTGCTAGCTAGTGATATTTTCTACTTATCATTCAGAAGATGCAATATCTACTTTCCAGTAGTCTGCATTCAGCAGCAGATACGCATGCCAAATGCTTTAAGGCAGATATTTTAAATACTGACATTTGTTTGGTTAAAATAAAACATTTTCAGGGGAGCAACTGGTTCCTTAATTATGCCTTAACTTCATAATACAATTTGAGAAAATCTTTATTCAGATTAAAACACTAAAGTGTGAGCCAGGATAGTTGTTACACTTTTTGATTGAATGATGCTAATTAGCACTGGATAAACCACAAAGGCAAAGCACTGCCAGCAACTCTTTACTGATAGAGTGGCTCTGTAGAGTACAAGCCAAATGTTTCATCAGGAACTTAATCATAAGAAAAAAGATTTACCTTCCAAGAAAAAGCAAAAAATGAATTCATTCAAAAGAGTCTAAAGCCGTCAGAAGATGAGAACGTTTTAAGTTATAAAGATGAGCCTTGCTGCTGTCCTGGGACATTTATGAGAATCGCTAAAGGAAGAAGTGGTTGTGATCCCAGCTGTACCCCTGACGCTATTTTCACATATTCTCAGTTTCCTAGTTGTTGTCTGCCAAGAGAGTTGGCTGATCAATCAATCAATCAATCAATCAATCAATCAATATTTATATAGCCCAATATCACAAATGTTACATTTGTCTCAGTGGTCTTCACAGTGTGTACAGAATATCAGTATGACAATACTGTCCTTAGACCCTCACATCGTACAAGGAAAAACTTCCGGAGAAAACCCACAGTTTAAAGGGAAACATGGGAGAAACCTCAGGGAGAGCAACAGAGGAGGGATCCCTCTCCCAGGACGGACAGACGTGCAATAGATGTGTGTAAATTGAAAAGATAATACATTTGCAACATAGGTAGTCCAAATGTTTGGAAATGCATGTGTGTATAATAAGAAGATGAATCCACGAGGATGTCAGCAATCTTGTGGGAGCCATCGGGGAAGTAGTATGGTGAGAGTCTGGCAGGACCGCAGAGACAGGTTCAGCCACGACTCGAAGTCCAGGACTCAGGACTCAGGATGCAGGACTCAGGACACATGATTCAGGATCCAGGACACAGGACCGCAGCAACAGGATCAGCCACGACTCAGGATCCTGGCGTAGATAGACACCAAAAAGAAATTTGGGGGAAGCTGGGTTATTCGGAACATGAGTACAGGGACTCCCTTAGGATAGGTTGAGGGAAAGGGGTAGCAAGTAAGGAACAGAGGTGGAGAGGCACAACGTGTCTACGTACATGCCCTCCCTGTTATGTTCTGTCAAATCTTTCTTCACTCGGTTTCAGTCAGAACAGCCACAGGTCATTTATAAGACTTTCAAGAACTAAACTGCCAGAACATAATAGTTTGTAGCGATCATAGTGGATATTTTTCCAACTTTTTTTGAGTCATTCCTCAAAAAAATATGTAAAATATGATCCGGTTCCAGCTTCTCAAATGTGAGGCTTTGATGCTTTTCTTTGGCATACATGACGATGAACTGCATATCTTATAAACTATATTATATTGTGTATAACACATAATAATATAGTCTTCAGAAAGGTGAAAATAGACAGAATAATCAAAGACACATCTTATATGTAATAGGTGCTGTACTAAATATAGCAGCAGGTTATTACTCTGCCGAGAGATAATGAGTGTTTCTCGCACAGATATAATAAAGGATCATGTTTTTTTTCTATCAAAGAGCTGCAATCCCTGTACAGCCAACAAGGCACATTGCTGATGTTGCATATTTTTTGCTGCAGAAAGAGGTCATGCACTACACTTTGACCTACTAAATGCCTTAAAAGGAGTGCGAGGGAGAAAGAGAGAGCAGTGGAGTCATGGGTGGGTTTTTTAGAGTGAAAATGGAAAAAATACATCTTGTTGGTCTTTGTGGTCGACAGATGCGAATCAAGAAAAGTGACGTCATGCTCTCTGCAGAGGGATGGATCAGTTGTCTTATTTAAGCCAGATGTGCCAAAGAAGGTGCAAAACTCAAAACTGGACTTTGATAATAAACGACGCCTCGTTTAGATGTGGCCCGTACACATCTTAAGAGGACAAGATGAGGCCTGTTTCTGGTGTCTAAAAATAAATGATGTATACATCATGTGTACATACTGGCATTTCTGCTATTTAGAATTTCTAGAACATATTGTTATAATCAAATCTATGATGTATATGATATGTGTGTAATAACACACTTCATTACACTGAAAGTTTGCTGTAGTTATTTCCCTGAAGGCTAGAGCATTTCTTTCTTTACACGATTTTTCTCTTGTGATGCAAAAATAAAATAAGGGTGATGTGTGTTAAGGGAAAACTGCAACCCAAATCTAACTGGGGCTATGTATGTGATATATTGTTAAGGGGAGAACATCAATGGCAGAAAAGACTGTAACTGTGCATTTTAAATGTATATTTAATGACCAAGGTTTTCCTCTTTACCTTCATCTCACAGGGATTGGTGTAATGTTTTGAAAGGCCTATAACATCAGCCATACTTTTCCTGCACTCTGCGGTTTGCCTCCTCTATTTCTCATTTCCATGAGGAGTCTAGCTATTGTAAACATTTTACATTCTTCACTCTTGTTTTGTTAACCATGACTCCCTTCCCATGAATCCCCAGTCTCTTCTCGCCCTCTATTGTTATTATATTGTAAGACAAGCAAATATTGTTTTTCCTAAAACACTTCTCGGAGAAGAGCTATTGTCTGTTTTATTTATTCCTATCTTGGCTCCCAGCCACACTTTCTTTATGTCATGAGAGGAGGACAGCTGCACTGTGAAGAGATGTAGTCTATTGTTTGGTTTAGTGCCTCAATTTGTTCAACACCAATGATCATTTGCTGTCTTTTTTTTATGGGAAAGGTTTAGTTTTTATCCAGAGCTTTTTTTAATATAGGAAATCCCAAAAATATGGGCAATAGATTTTCAGGCTTCAAAGGAAAGAGATCATGTAGCAGCTACAGCCACACTCTGTCCATATCTCTGTGCTCACTGTCAAGGATTGGCCTGCAGTGTTGTGGTTGGAGTCAATGATGTGAGGAAAGTTGATAACAGTATCATGGGAGAGGTTTTTTTTTTTTTAGGTGAAATTTCTGCCTTAATCAGTTTGAAAGCCTCACGTGCGTCAGTTCAGATTAGTGAGCCATGAAATGAGGCAGGAAATGATCTCATAGTGTGCATATTCAGTTTCAGCACAGGTCAAACATGGTCCAAGCAAACTAACTTATTCCCTGATGACTTAATCGGCCCCACATTGGTTAATTTAGGTCCAGTTTGCCAAAACACATACCGTACATTGAGGCTGCAATAGACATTCCTCATATTCTTGCTTTTTCTAAGGTATTACTCATCAAATTGTGGGTTTATGTGAGCCGAAGCACTATTAATGTCACATTGATTTGTCTTCCCAGAAGCGTGTCATGCACAGACATGCCTTCGCTGCTCTCGCTATATCTACACAGCCCTGTTGTTGTCATCCTGTCTTTAGCATTGCTCTATCAGTTGTGAGCAGGCTCTGACATGAGCTGTTATTCATTTCTCATTGTCACAGGAAGCACTGACCATTGTTTTGTGTGTGTGTATGACTGTAGCCTGAAACAATGAGGGGGACTGCAGGGCTGGTTCATTATGTTTTACCCTGTAAACATTGGGCAGGGAATGGTAGTGGTTTATGTTTGTTTTTTAAGAGCCAGCATCAATGTAAAGCTGGATGCCTCCATGTTTAATGTGCACAGATATTTTAATGAACCGTCTGTTCTGTTGCTCCAGTCAGCAAAGGCACCGCAGTAATGTGAATCCTGGGATTAGAGTTAATAAGTGTACTACTCTGAAGCCTGTGCAGTACTCTTTACTGGGTGGGTGAATCTGTATACAATCCAAGACTATGTGTGAAAGGGCTGAGGTTTTTGTGTTTATAAAATGCCATCGCAAAAATAAGAAAACAGTTTTTACAACCTGATTTTTTGATTCCCACATTTCTAAAGCTCGTACCACTACCATCCCTGATGAGTAGGATTAGGTTTTTTGTGCGTAAAGGGGCTCGCGATTACAAACACAAGCAACATGAGCAAACATGTCCGGTTTATCTCGATGATCTTAAGCCACACCATAAAATACAAAAAAGATGCAGTTGCAACTGTAAACATCCAAATCCCACACTAGATTGTGTTCATCTGTTCTCATGCAGTTTTATGATGCATTGGATAATTATTATAATAGGCATTTTGGTGCATTCTCTTTTATTCTGGCATCTGTGAGTGGTTTAGGTAAGTGGGTTAAACTGGGCCTGTTTAAAAACCGTCTGATCACTTGTTTGCAAACCCCTTGTAAAACCGCCTCAAGCCGAGTTCCTGCAACTCCCTCTTGAAGCTATTAAGCTTGCAGTTATATGTTGTCTTAACTAAATGAAAGGATGGCCAAAACCACAACAATCAGACCGTTGTTGTAAAAAATAATCCATTATAATAAGAAATCCTCTTAAGCTATAACTAAAGTCACTCTGTAAACCACTTATAACGTTATGTATGATTCCAGCTAATAGTCTAAGGTTGGATTTGTATCTGTGTAACCAGGCTTATCATAGATTTTATTTAAATGTATTTTAGTAGAGTGGATAATACATCAAACATCCTAGTATGTTTCGAAGTCGTTGCAGTAAAAGTCCTTATAAGCTTTTTTCAGTTTGAACAATCACATTAAAAGAAATACAACTATTATTATGAAAGAAGACTCAACATGGACGCAGTCTTAATTGTAACATAAAGTTGTAAAGCTGAAGTTACTGTATGTATTAATAACTGTCTCCGTCTCTTCTTTCCACAGAGCTTTTAAAGCGGGAGAAACGAAGGTAAGGCTTTGTCTGAATCATCGATCTCACCTATGTGTGACACTTGTATGTGTTTGCATGGTCTGCTACTGGACTGGAGTGACACTGATTGAATTTGAAACTTCCTTTAATCGTTGCTCACATTTGGCTTCAACAGTGTCATGTCACTTTGTGTTTAAATTCATCTGATTCACCTGCCAAGCTCTCAGAGTCCATGCACTGTGCATTAGCAAAGCCTCAGTGAGCCGCTAACTGAGATGTTTGCTGGATGGTGTGTTGTGAATACTGCTTTTTGAATCCCCTGTGGTTTATTTTGTGATGCCTTGCACAATCCCAGACTAATACCGATGCATGTAGTTTCACTGTCAAACCTCTTGAGAGCGACTTCCCAGCCTGATTACAATGTAAATGGTACAATAGTGACATGAGCTGCTTTGTGCTGAGTGTTGCTTTTAGTAAAGCAGCAGTAACACCTTTCCAAAAGCCAATGTGCCAATTAAGCAGGTGTTCTCTCGCAGTCCATGCATTCTGTTCAGTGAGAAATCTCATGAGTGAGACATGTCAGTCAAATATGACAATTTCTCCCTTTGAGACTTTTCTTTTTTACCAGCAGTAGCATATTACTTTAGCCTGTCTCTGGCAGACTGCCAAAACAAATAAAATGGCTGTGTTCACACTTCTTAAGCACTTCTTCGTTGCACAGAGAAAAGCCTGAAGGGTTTGACAGAGCTGATCCTACAGCCTGGGGTAATAATGTGCAGTCGGAGCTCTCTTTATATAAAGTTTGGGATTGTGCAACCACAAAAGGAACTTTCACTATATGTCAAAATGTGTAACTGCATGTTGTGTGTTGTGCTGCATTGTCTCCCTCTCCCACACCCTCGTAGGACTCACTTGCTCCGGCTTCTGTTCCGCCAAAGTACTCCTTTGCTCCCAGCACAACCATTAACAAGATGGCGAGGCCATTTACAGCAGGTGGTGCTGGTGGTGGTACTGCCAACTCAGGACCCGCTATTAAACCTGTGGCATACTCCCCTAAACTTAACACCCCGAGCTCTCAGGGCCGTGCCAGTGTGAAGCAGCCACAGAATGGGTAGGTGGATAAATAAACACTATTCCCTTTGGAACCACAACGTGAATAATGTGGTTTTAATGACCTTTCTGATGACTCATTATTCTGGTTTTACACTGAGGAGAAAATAACTCCTTCAGGATTTCTAAACTGCATTATGTTGAGAACTTCCTTCACTACCTTGCCACAATTATGCCACAGATTTTTAGAAGCGTTCCAGAAAAGATGATCATAAAAGATGTACGCTGACTCACTGCTGTGATCAACTTAATTACCCCTCTCTCTGCCAGTAACGTAAGAAACAAGATGGCGAGCATATGATAGATTTATACTTATTGTCCCTGGGGAGAATTTGTTTTCACAGCTGAGTATTTGAACATAGTAACATGTAGCAACAGATATAAAGATGGCATCATACTGAAATTACAGAGAAGAGACATTTTATGTATGAATCCTTATGATGTCAGGGAGGCAGATTGTTCAAGGCTGCGACCCTTTCTCCATTTAAGTGTCATGTATCTCTTTCCACAAGGGAATGCTCTGAAGTGTTGGTTCAGAGGTTTTTAATGAGTTTTGTATAACGTTATGTCATTGCTCAAGACACTAGCAGTGCTTAACTGCCATTAAAGACCATGATATCATGATGGACTATGGCCAAAGCATCATTTGGTGGAAATTGGAGGAGGTTGTGAGATATTGTTCTCAAAAGAGATCCAAATGATCTTGTTGGCCTTTATCACACAGATGAAAGCCAACACTTTGACACCATAGAGGGGGATTTTAATCTGACATATGCGAATCAATCAACTGAGAGACTGGCTGTACGACAAAAACAGTTTCACAGATATTAGTGAAGCATGTGTCAACAATCAGTCCTTTAAGGTTGCAAAGTACTTTCTATGGTTTGATTTTTATTTTCCATCTTACCCTTTGGTTCCTATTATCCTCACCATATGTGTGAGTGTGTGAGGGAGATAGACAATCACCAAAAAGCAAGACTTTTAACGCTTCAAAGAACGTATCATTTCAATCAACCGTTTCAAACGGATTTGCCATTTCAACAGATGGGTTATTGACTGACGGCGATTTTTACTTGTGTCTTGCTTCTCCAGTCAGTAGTTTGATAAATAAAAATGTCAGAATGGATTTTTTCAGCCCAATATTTCTCGGCTTTAAGGAGCTGTGTTGTTTGGATTATCTTTTAAAACATCACGTTAGACAGAAATCATACCTCCAAATACATAAATCTCTCTGATTGCAGTATGCTTTAAAATGGCTATATAAATAACATTTTCTAGTTTTTATTTTTCCACTCAAATATAACAATGATTCTAGGAATGGACTAAAACACATTTATAACGACTAGAAAAGTTCAGTTTTGCATACAATTGCCTCCAAGAATAGGCCAGTCTTGGCAGTGGCAGCATGGGGAGATGTGGCCTGTTGCTGTATTTAGCCTCACCCATAAATTCTACTGAGTTCTCAGCCGCTCTCACTGACTGGTGCTGGATTATTTAAGCAGCCGTACTTGCTTACTCTTGAGGGCTCACATGGTTTTGGAAACCCATCATTCAGGCCATTTATTTAGATAAAAAGAGCCTAATTATAAATGGCAGTCACTTTTAATGAATACATTGAAAACTATACGTCTCATGTGACAGGCCTGTCCTGTCGTATTGAAACAGGTTTTGTGTGATGTTGTTAGTTCAGAGCTGAACATGATGACATCCTGATGTGTCACTGCTGTGGCAGTTATTGCTGTTGACTAGAATCAGGCGGTTGTTTATCCTTTTTGTTTTGGACAAATGCTACAACCATTTACATAACTCTGTAAAGCCTTTGTGCACATGGGGTGAGAGGAGCATTGGGCAAAGGTTTTGTGATCTACTGAGTCGTTTTGGGTCAGGGGGACAATAGATGATCTGACAGACAAACAATGCCTCTTTCTCTCACAGAGCCTGTTGACAATAACCGCATGTCTCGGGCACCTCCTGCATGTTTTCTGCATCCTGCAGCACTGTTGCTCTTTAGTTGTGTACAACCTCCGAAATACATGAAGATGTATTCTGTTTTTCCCTCTGTTTAACTCAAAGCTGAACTCTGACCTTTTTCTCTCATTTCCTGTTTTCTTCTTTTATTTTAATGCAGCAGATGGAAAATCTTGACAAGTTAGTATATCTATTTTTCTTTATTTAACAATCCAGATGAAATAACATTTTCTTTATTTTTTGAATGGTCAATCACACTATCATTGATGACAATGGTTTCCCCACTTGAGTTTGTCTTGGTACTCTTCCTTTACTCATGGTCAACATATATTTACTGGCTGTGAGCAGAAAAATAGTAGAGGCAAGTCTAAAAACATCAACACATCTTGATGGTTTATTTAGCACCCCATGGTGGCGCCTGCACCTCCAATTTGGGAACCACTGCTCTACTACAATCCATTAGACAATTTTCTAATAATTCTCCAGTTAAATTGAATCATTAACTAATCTATACATTTAGGAAACAACTAGGAACATCATGGTCTCTAAGAACTCTTCACTTTTTAAAATAGCTCACTCTTCATGAATGTCCCCCTATCGGTGGTCTCTCCTGTCTTATATCTTTGGTCTATTCTACAGGGGGGAAGCCTTCTATGGTGATGTGTACCCAGAGGCCAAGTAAGGGGCTGCTGCATGCAGGCTACACTGCCAGCTTATTGGCTGATATGGCTAGATATGAGAAAAATGCTGATGCTCTTATAGGTAGATTCACAGCGATGCAGCAACAGTTCATTATCATCCATTCATCTCTCATCCTCTACTTCCTTTTTGATAAATGCATGCTGCAGTTGACCTGCAAGCCTGTTGGAAATGAAAAGCATTTTTTGTGCAGCATCTTGAGTTTTCTATCACAGTAAAAGCTTTTCTATATACTTAAATGTTTCCCTACACAAGGCCAGGTACCGCAGGCTGACAGGTTTTCTCCCATTGATTCTAATGACAGATATAAATACGATCTTTAATGCGGTAATGTCCATTTTATGAGCGTCTACAGTGTGCCCATGAGAAATCTTAAGTAATGGATATCCATTAGCTCGCTTATTGCGTGACCGTGATGCTGAGCGTTAAGTGCTGCATGATGTGTGCAGGATGTCCTCTATTTTCAAGGTCTCCTGTTTAGCTGTGTTGGTGTGAGTGGGTAGATCCTGGAGGGGTTGTGCTAACTGCGCATGCCGTGTGCTGCTGCTGGGTGTGTGTGCAGGCACGGCCTCAGGATGGAGAACCTGCCCTGTTTTATCCCCAACGACCGCAGCAAGAAGAGGCTGATCCAGGACACGGAGGACTGGCAGCCGCGCACCGGCACCACGCAGTCCCGCTCCTTCCGCATGCTGGCCCAGCTCACAGGCACCGACTATAGTAAGTCTGGGACCGGGCCTGGCCTACTCAGGAATGTGAGACCACAGAGAGCCATGAGTTGGGGGGGGTGGGCTGCTATGACAATAGATATAAAGTGTAGGTCAAGGCCTATGACGCAGCAGTTGATCTGATGTGATCCGATTGTATCTGTGAGAGTGACAGCAGTCAGTGATGACGGGGGGGGAGTTTATTTTCAGGTGTGAACACTGAACTGTCATGTGTTCGCTGTCTTCTATGACCAATCATTTCTCATGACTGCAACCAGTCTGATAAACGGATCAACATGTTTATTACAACAGAAGCACCATTCGATTTAGACTTTTACCAAATGTGTTTGGGTTGTCTCGTGATCAGCTGTTTGACTATTTGTCTTTGAGAAGCACCTTCTTCATCAGTAAAGCGTGCTAACGTGTGTGTCTCCTGGATCTCTCAGTGCAGGACCCAGATGATGAAATCCTGAAGAGGTCCAGGTAAAAACTTGAGTGGTGTTGATTTGAGCACGTCGGCCTTCCCGGTCATGAGTGTTTGTGCGTTTGCGTGTGGAAGCTTCAGTTTGCAGCTATTTTAGAAACAACTGTAAAACTCTACGTTTGGTTATATTTTGTAAAAGCAATATTGCTGCTTTGAATAATTGCATGTGTGGTGTGATTTAAACAGCCTTCGTATTAGAACATTCATCTTATCTGCTTCGAGGCATAATTTCCTTTTTAATGAATCGTTCAATGTTGGGGAAATGATTCACTTTTTTGCCGTGAGATAGATGGGAAGATTGATATCATACTCATGTCTTACTTTAGATAATAAGATAGCATTGGTCTCTGTCCAAAGATAACAAAATATATTAAATATTTCTCAGCTAAACGTGACTCTCCTGCCAATTTTGACATAAATAAGATGTAACATTAGCAACATGTTAATTTGTCAGCTTTAGTGGAAATGGTATGTGGATTTCCTTCCATCAGTCTTTATACTAAGCTAAGCAATTGGCTGCTGGCTGTACCTTTTATATTTAATAAACTGACAGAATATCTTCTAACTCTTTGGAAGAAAAGTGTTAAAGCACATTTCCCAACTATTTCTTCAAATAACTATTTGCCTCCCAGATCTTTCATATTCTTATTCATTCTTAATCCTTATTGTTTCACCCGTTTTATTCTTCTGCTACTGCGTCATCTTTTTGTGCACGCTCCCTATTTATGATCCCACCTGTTAACCCCCCGGTCTCTCTGTTTCATATCTCTTTTGCTTGCGTTCAGGGAAAAGTTCCTCACAGAGATTCAGAGTCCCCGCTATGCCCGTCTGAGGGACTGGCACCACGACCGGTCTGCTCGCGCCCTCAATATCAAATCCTGAGCGACATCCTACACGCCATGGGATGCAGAGCCTGCTAGTGATAGCCGCACCGCAACGACGACGTGACAAAGACGACGAAGATAGCCGACCGTCCAAATGGCAGTTAACAAATTCACCTTTCACATACCGATGGGGTGGGAAAAAAAAGTTTGCGGGAAGAAAAAAATAGAAAAACATAGCGTAGATGACAAAGCCCTAAGTGGAACCTTGCATACTGAGCCTTAATGTAAGATCTCCCTCTGACTTGATTATTGTTGACAACACGGTGGACTACTGTGTCTGCGGCCCTATTTTGCATTTCACATTGCGTTAGTTTGAGTTGAGCGGAGGGAAGGAGGGCCTCAGCTGTGGGAAGCGCCTTTCTGTTCGTTATTCTTCTTTGATTGTAAAGTTCAGACCCTCCTTTGATCTCCGTCTGCCTCTCTATCTCTCTGCCTGTTTCCATTCATTGACTTCTTCATCCTTTAGAGTTATCATTTGTGATCCCCTCATCTCGTAGGCTTCTCCAACCATTAGGAACAAAAAGGAAGATCAATCTGTACTTTTGTTTATTTCTGCTGTCCTCAAAAATATAAAAAATCTGAAAAAAGCTACTCTTGCTTCTCTATCCTTTCTTCTGTGTGTCTTTTCTTAATCTTGTGGAATTAGGGTTCAAGCTTAAAATGCTACATCTCTACATATCTAGCTCTTACTTCTTCTTGCTTTCTTTACTTTCCCAGTGTACTGAACAGAAATGATTATGTAAGCAGGTTTTTATCAGACATTTGTGCAGTTCTGAGTTAATATGGTTGTTTTTCAAAGATCGGGGTTCAAGATTTATTGCCTCAGAGAAAAATGTTGTGTAGTCAAGCATAACAAAAGTAAATGGGCATACACACATGAAGAAATACATAATTATAAAGTGCAGAGGTGCACAGTGAGGAACTGCACCTAGTAAGCCTGGATCAGAGAGTATTTAAAACTAAATAAAAATATAAGCATTATCATATTTAGATTTCAGCTGAGTAATTGCTGCAGTACAGTGGCCTCTTTTCAAAGATTGAGATGTAATGGCAAGTTGCAACCAATACTTTGATTTTAAATTCAGTTTTATTTACATCATCTGATTTAAGATGTACATTTAGATTTGAAAAAATGAAATACCTTGATTGCATCCAAAAGCCCCTTCAGTGGAAATTGTACAAAACATTTGCCTGTAGGTGGCACAACAAAATAATTTGATTTATGCTCTACCTTACATAGTTTGATAATTGGTAACAAGGAAACTTAGGTTGGTGATATTTTAAATCAATAGGTGAGTTACATTAGAAAGGGAAATGTGTAGCTTTTCACACATAATTAAGATCAGGCCATTAGTTTGTTATAGGTAATTAAATGATTCTTGGAATTATTACAATATTTTATATTACAAGTGACTCCATAGTCCAAATTATTTGAAAGTGTATCCACATCACCATGCACCTAATGTCAAATGTGGTAAGTTAGGAGGAGTCAATCATCACATCTAAATACATTGAAGTACATAGCAGGACAGTACTGGTAGACACACACCGGTAGAGTTTATAATAGTTAAGATAAAGGAAATATTACTTTAACATGCCAACAATATAACAGAAAAACAACTGTACCCTCACATTGACTGAAACATTTAGTTTTCTTGCCATTATATTCCTAATAACAAACAAGGGATGACGTTCCATTAAAGCCGTGCACCCCTGGCCCGTCAGCGAGTGCCACCATTGTTTCTCATGTTGTCACTTGTCACACTCAGGTTCTCGCAGAGCTGCATCACTTTTATCTCCACTCTTTGGAGGGTGACAACTGTGTGTCAGGGGCTTGTTGCTCAATCTAAAACCTGAACCTGCTTGTTTCTCTGCCGGATGTCGAGCTGCCAACACACTCCTACTCTGCTCATTGCTCAGGTCGATGAATCCCGCAGGAGAGCAAGCCAAAACAAACTGTGAATCAGAAGGCAGGTGTAAAGAGTGAACGGTAAATGTAATCATGTGCAAGACTCCATGTGGAAGGCTAAAAAAACCCAAAGACTCCTGTCTGCACCTGCATCACACTGAGCAGGAGGGGGATGTTGAAAGCGGTGAAAATGTCAAGAAACATGATCCAGGCCACGGCGGGGGGGAAGGAGCAGCTGTAGAGGATGTACTCCAATTTGCACCTGCAACCTTCACCGGAGCGAGGCGCAGCAAACAAAACTCTCAGAGGTGTGGGGGGTCAGGGCCACTGGCCTGTTGGCGAGGGGGTGTAGCGGGGCCGCCGCGTTCACCGCAACGTTTTTTGTTCCCCCCTGTTTTTGTGAGTTGTTCGGGGGTCCCATAAGGCAGATAAACCAGTGTGTGTGTTTTGCAGAGGGCCGCTGACCTTGGGTCTGTGTGTGAACCAGGTTTGTTCTGTCCTTTGTTTGACCCAGCCGACAGAGATCAGCATCCCCCAGCAGCCTCTCTCTTTTTCACTCTATATTTGTGTCTTTTTTTTTAAAGATCTCCTGGTAAGAAAGGGGACTTACCTTCCTTAATTTCTGAAGATTCACCTCTCTCTATCTGGCACCAGCCCTGCAAGCCGTGTTCTTACTTATGCGGAGGGATTTGATATGCTTTTATTATCCAGAGTATGCTGTTGGAAAATAGCAGTTTTTTAATTCTTCTTTTGCTAGATAGCTCCCAGTATTAAGTCTGTAACTTCTCCTGCCGCTGTAACTTCCTGTGTTCCTTTTTGGGGCTACATGAGAAACATAATTGATTGTCAGACTTAACCTGATGCAGCCGATGCTAAAGAACAACGCTGTTGAGGGGCAATTTCTTCTTTGTAAATGAGAAAAGGTTTCATCATCTTTCATTAGTGAATTGTAGATGGCACAGTTGATGATGTACACATGATGGATGCCTAAGGCGTTGTTATATTTTTTTCCCAAGATAAGAAGTCTCCAGAGCTCAATCTCTTGGCTCAGAAGTTGTTTTTCCTTCTCTGTCATGGTTTGAAGATGTTCTGAATATAGTAGCACTTGCTGCGGGTAACAGAACTTTGAAATGTAGAAACAACTCTTTATTTCAACACTGTTGCACAGGCAGGCTTGAAGCTAAACTCTGCTGCTTCCAAATCTGAGGGGACAGATCTGAGTTTCTTCTCTAACTTTTCTTGTGAGTGACGTCAATCACCGAGAGAGGTTGTGATTGCTCTCATTAGAGCAGGGGTCTGGAGTCCTTCTGATGCAGAGCTATAATGTCTTCACAAAATGCACACAGTGTTATCTGTTGTTCAGCATTGATCACTTGAATTACTTCATCGATTTAGTCTCACAGAGGCTTGTGCTTTCATGTTAAATGTCCTCCAAATCAATTCCTACATCTATTGCAGTGTATTTTTCTTTCAAATTCACCTGAATGTACGACACCTACGCTCTCAACAGGTGAGAAACCCCATGCTAATCCTGTCTTATAATTATAATATTAATGATGACGCCAGCTGTAGTGAACAGGTAATCTGAAACTCTACATAATGGAGACAGCCATGGCTGCTGTAATACAAACATGACGTTCATTGAGTTGTAGCCATGGTTACTGAGGTGTGTGCCTGTACGTGTGTGTTTTCTAATTAGTCATTTTCTTCCAACAGCCTTGAGCCAACTCCCTCACCTGCCAAGGCCCAGGCAGCAGACAAACCAGATGGTGAGTTTCTGCTCCTGCTGATGTGTATAAAGAAACCCAGCAGCTTCCAGTAGAGGTTGTGCTAATAGATTCTCATGACGTGTCAATACATGAGCATCAGCAGCGTATCACAACTCTTACATACATCTCAAGAGAGGGGGGTGTATTACATAAAAGTGACCCCATCCCATTTGAATTATTAAAAGTCACAGCAAAGTTTTTCCAAGTGCTGTTATCCCAAAACAAAATCCTTCTTTTTTTATTTTACCCAGGCACTTATTTTGCAGCGGCCCCAGCACGCAGCTCGGGTCCCTCCTCTCGGCCCCCGTGGGTCACTGACCCTAATTTTGCTGACCGCTTCCGGCCAGATAAGACCAGCACCGTGATGACCCAGCACCAGCAGCCGGCCCAGCCCACTCCCATGCAGAACCGCAGCTCCATCCTGCAGGCAGCGCAGCAGGCACCCGAAGAGAGCGGCAGGACCCCGCTCTGTGGGGCCTGCAACAAAATCATAAGGTGAGAAGCAAAGAGCCTTTTCACCATATCAGAACTGTATGTCAGGAATCATAATTGGGGTTTAGACCTCTCATCACTTGGGAGAAGAAATATATTAAACCTTATTTCACACATTTCACAGATAACAGAAACCTTAGTTCTAATTCTTGTTACTATTTCATTTAATTTCAAACCTTTATTTATACAGATAAATCCCATTGAGATCATTGATCTCTTTTTCAAGGGAGACCTGCTCAAGTAGTTCCACATGAAACATAAAAACATAAATAGAACAACAAAAGGACATCATACAGCATCATTTACATAATTATCCACATAAACAGGTACCAATAGCTTCCGATTGACTAGCATCCAACCGAGCTTAAACTATTGAGAGAAAACACAAGTGTGTCAGATTTGTTTACATTTCTCAGCGGGGCCAATGTGTGAGTGTTGTTAGTCATGTGTCGACATTTCCATTGGAGCACTGCTTCCCTTATAAAGAAAGGGATGTAGCAGATTTCAATAATGCCTCTGATGTGCTGCTAACCTATGGCTGTGTGTGTGTGTGTTCCAGGGGTCGGTACCTGGTGGCGTTGGGCCGTTCCTGGCACCCGGAGGAGTTTACGTGTTCGCAGTGTAAGGTGGTCCTGGAGGAGGGCGGCTTCTTCGAGGAGAGAGGGTCTGTCTACTGCACCAAGTGCCACGACAACCGATACGCTCCCAACTGTGCCAAGTGCAAAAAGAAGATCACCGGGGTAAGAAGTGCGCTGATGGGTGAAACGCAAATCAAAACACAATCCAGATGCATGGAATAATTAAAGATATTTTACACTTGAAAATGAATTCTGTTTCTCCCATTGTCAGGAAATCATGCATGCCCTGAAGATGACCTACCATGTTGAGTGTTTCAAGTGTGCAGCCTGCAAGACTGCCATCAGGAACCAAGCCTTTTACATGGAGGAGGGAGAACCCTACTGTGAGAAAGGTGAGACAATTGAGCTAGTACCTTACCCCCTAACTTCACCATTACTTTGCCTTTCTTTCACAACAATTGGAAATGATTACAAAACTATTAACTAATCTTAAAAGACAGTAGCTGATTTGGAGAAACGTAATTAAACACAGTTCTAAATGAAGGATTTCCAGACAGCCATACTTTATCTGCACCCTGATCTGCTGCTCTTAATGCTCCGTGTTAGGAGATTAGCAACACCATCTGTGGTGTAAAGCACGGGATGAGATGTGCTTCTAAATTAAATTGATAGACTTTATTTAATAATGTTAGTCGAACACATGAATCTGATTCTTATAAACCCAATTCATGTTACTTTTCCTCACATCCACAATCGCTCCCATCACATGTATCTGGTAAACATAAACATTAAATGTGAGTAATAATAATTAAGTAAACATCAGGGATAATCGGAACAGTAATTAATAGCTAATGTTGAGTTTGAAAGTCCTCACGCTTAAGGGAAAATCCTGAATAAGAGAAAAAAAAAAAATATATATATATATATATATGATATATATATATGATATATATAGTTCCATCTTGAGGCTTCACAATACAGGAATCTCCATGGTGAAAAATCCTCTTCTGGAAACACAGAGGCAACTTCATTAATGTGGTTTCTAGTGGAGGAATGAAGAAAATACACAGTTGTAACCACCATTGCTGAACAAACCGGAACAACCACAGAAACCTCAGTTTTCAAAAGAAAATGTAACTCTACACCGAGATGAAATATAATGCTTAAGCAGAACATATGAAACACTGGCAAAAAGTAAATACAGCATGCTGAAAACCCATAGTATGCAGATTGATTTGTTCCGGTGCCAACTGAGAACATCTCCACCCCTGTAAGACCCCCTGTAACTAAACCATGCTTTATACATTAGTCAAGAATCTGCACTGGGCCCAACGTAGAAGAACAGAGGCAGCGCTGACACCCCGCCTCGCAGCATTAGGTTTGTGATCGAGCTTATTTGATAGAAGATGTCACATCCTTTCACTTTAAATGGATGCTGGAGCTACGTACAGTGTAGCGCCGCATCACAGAAAGATGGGTGATTCAGGGGTCCCGCAGAGTGCATTTTCTGATGAACTAGTTTCTTTTGGAAAACAAACAGCTCACTGCAGGGCGTCTTCTCAGATTTGCTTGAATCATTTTCATATTTATCAAGCTATTTGTAAAACATTGCATTGTTGTATTATAGCTGTTGGGTTTGGCATGAGTGTGCATCATGAATCTCTCGGAGCGCACCACAGTCCATCATAAAGTGTGATGTTTTCATCTGCTATAATCTATTTATCTCCAGTTTACTTCATACATTTCTCTATTGGATTTTATGAATGGTGTGTGCTCTTCTATTATGCGGTAAATGATTTAGCGGGGCGTCGTGCCTCTCGCTTACTACCCAGGCTCTGACGTGGATCGCTGCTTTATCGAAGGCGAAGCCACAACCTGAGTATTCGTACTCCGAATAATGCCTCTAGCCCTGATAAACATTCTGCTGCCTCAGCATCTTTCAGGGATTGTGTCGCTCTCACCCACTCACTCTTGAGAAGTGGCATTATAACCTGACACTCTCCCAAGAGTCCTTGTGATGAAAGAGAAATCCAGTTAAGTATCTGGAGCAATTTCCCCTCATCCTAATCCCCCTTCCCACCACCCCGCCCCCCCTTACACTCTGGAAAGGCAATGATGTACAGTGAGGGGACAAAATAACACAAATGGCATAGTATCAAATGCTAAATGAGGAGAAGAGACAACATTTCGCTTCAAAGGAGTGTCATTCATCTTTCTAGCGGCCTTCAATGTGTGTGTGTGTTTGTGTCTGTGTGTACGATTGTGTTTGTGGGGCGATATTACTCTCCTTCAAGAAGAATAGCCGCCCGTTCTTTTTCAAAGATGAAAAGGTGGAAACCTATTTCATACTCTGTGCTCCAGAACATCCCATAAAGGTTAAGTGGTGTTTACATATGGTGATTGTGGAGGCCAGGAGGAAGCCTGACCTGATCTCCAGGATGATAAAAGCTCTTTTGAATTAGTTTTATTTGATTCTGATGGATATATCTCTGCCACTCACCACCACCTGTCCTCCCCTCACCTTTCTCTCTCTCCAGACTATGAGAAGATGTTTGGCACCAAATGCCACGGCTGTGACTTTAAGATTGATGCCGGCGATCGGTTTCTGGAGGCCTTGGGCTACAGCTGGCACGATACGTGCTTCGTCTGTGCTGTAAGTCACTTTGATTGATCTGGCTCCCTGCGGGGCTCCGGCTCTTCTGGCTGTCCCAGCACAATGCCACCTGAAAAATCTGCCTCTGTCTCAGAACTCCTCTGTGTCACCTGCACTCTATATCACTCTTTCTGTCACTCTGTGAGGGAAAACTGAAAGTAAATGGTGTCAAGTAAATAATATGCGCCTGCCCTGGCCAGTAGGAAATAGTGTGAATTCACATTCACATTGGCAGTGTTAAAAGTGTGGTCTATGTCCCGGTTTCTCAATCTGTCTGTCTGTCTCCTTTCATCTTTAAAGCTCTGCCAAATCAACCTGGAGGGGAAGACGTTCTACTCAAAGAAGGATAAGCCCCTGTGCAAAGGCCATGCCTTCGCTCCAGTGTGAGAGCGAGCGCCGTCTTCAGAGGAAGGAACGCTTCTCTCCCTGCTCTCTTCACCCCGCGCACACTCTACATCTCTTCTTCGCCAGCCACACCGAGTCACCCTTTTTTCTATCTTACAGACTTTGTTTCTATATATGAGGCTTACCGTTAGCTTTACATACTGTTCCTTTGCTAATAAAACAGTCCACATGTTACTGCCTGTAATAACGAATGCTGTTGTGTTGTAAAACTGGAAGTAGTCAAGGAATTGTTTCATGTCATCACCAACTTTTTAAGTCCTATTTAGAATCAGACCTTTGAAAAGTGCCCTTGCAGTTCATCTACATTTAATTGTAGTCGTTAGTGAAGATTTTTCACAACTCTACTAATGTCCTCCTTGTTCAGTCTGAAGTACGATCAGGTCAGTATCTCCCCAGTTGAAAGGAGTCATTTAGCCTTTAATAATGTCACATATTGCAGTAATGATCTGCCACTACTCCTCTGCTGTGTGGAGAAGTGGTGGCCTCGTTCAGGACCCCGTCCCACTCATGACTGCTGCTGCAGAGCCTATTAACGTAATGGCGACCAGTCAAGCAGAAAAGGGGGTGTCCCATTTCTGCTCGGCTGGACCCCTGCTCCTCTCCACAGAAGCAGCGACGGCAGAATGTTCTCTGATGAGCCGCAGCTAAAGGTAGGAGGGGAGTAGTTAACAACGTCCTGTATTAATCCTCAATTGATCCACTTTTAAATGTCACAGCGACATAAAGAACGTGCTACTCGTTTTAAATGTTCCACTGCTAGGAGACGAATCAAAGCCTTTGAAATGATCATTTATTTTGACATTTAAATGTAAGAAAACAAAAACACAAGTGATATTTGTCCCTCGTGTTACCTGATATTGTGATTATTCCTCAGTGCTTTCCTGTCATGGCTGGATATGTATTTATATTGCTGCAGAATGGGCCTGTAAGTGTTGTTTTTATAGCTGTTGGGAGTTTCAAATAAAAATAATGCAGTAATGCCAAGCACTGAACCCATCTGTAAGATTTTCTATTGATTGATGTTCTGGCTCTCTCTGCTCTCACCAACATCTGCTCCCCGACAAGAGGACAATGGACTTTATGTTTTCATTTTTGTTGCGAGTACTAAAAGTGCTCTAAAAAAAACAGCTGTTGTAAAAACCCTGGATAAAAGACCGTAGTAAACCCTACAGTGTTCTCTATATAGAAAACAATCTAGTATTCTTTCCTCCATTCATTTAATATTTGCAGCTTTATGCTATCTCCATCTGATTGGGCTTTTTATTTAACTCAAAATTGAATTATAAAATGTCCGATATTCCTTTAAACCAGACATTGTGTAGAGTAATACAAATACACTTTACATAGTATAGATTTTCCTTTTTAAATTGCTTTTATGTGCAACAGTCAATGTTTCAAGTGAGAGATCCAGTCATTGATTTAACAATATATAATTTATTTACAACAATTTCAGGTTGAATTACTATACATACCTTTCTGAAATGTCATAGATAGATATATATACATAAGGCCAAGTAAATACTTGAAAGCACTTAGAAACGAATTTCCAAAATTCTACCCACAAATCCATATCATTGTCCAAAAAGTACAGAAAATCTCCTTTGGCAGAAGATCCTCCATTGCCACAAAAGTTTTGACAACAATTTACATTGACGATAGGAACACAAAAGGTAAAAAAAATAACGAACAAAACTAAAAGATTATACAATTGCATAAGCGCTGTGGCATGTAATAAATACAGCATTTTTGACTTGCAGAAAGGCAAGGAACATTGAATCAAGGAACTAAATAGAAAAACCATTCACAAGTACAGAAGTCTATTGTTCAGTCAGAGTGATGGGGGGGGGATGCACACACCCACACTAACATCCTTGACACTTAGCAGTAATGAGTGACACAAAGTACAATTGTGAGATGTAACAATTTCCCCAAAACTTTGACGGAAATGTGCATTACACATTACACATCTTACACCACCCTCAGGACGGGAGCTGTATTCATCACACGCTCAGTCATTTTAGATATGTTGGACAAGTTAGATGTGAACATGGCGGCTGGTGAATTACAATACGGAAATGTGCTTCGACAACACAATGACAGGGGTGATAAAGGTTCACACACGCACACACTGACTGTACAACTGCCATGGCTCATCTAAACGTGCTGTGTCAACACGGGCTTGTCAGTGTCCTGGAACTGATGTCCCCCAAAGCAGCCTCCACACAGTTCCAGTGTAGTGATCACTCAGCATTAGGGACTATTTCCACCTTGTATTTAAATGCTTACAGTTAGAGACATATGCAGATTAAGGACCAACAAAATATGTAGAGAAACTTCCTGTAAAACAGTCTCTAAACCCTTAACACTGCAAAAAGTCTTCACTGCTAGATCGCCAAAGAACAGTATATAGGCAAACACGTCACGGTTTAGACTTGACAAATGCTGCGCCAGTTAGTGTCTTTTTTTGGCTTCATATTAAAATATAATTTACATTTCTTTACAAAGTGACAAAATAAACGGACACATATTACCGCTTGAACGAACAGCATTTACTTGCCTCAAAGACAAAAGCGAGGAAATGAGATAAAGAAAGGATTTTAAGCCCGCACTTTAGAGACGGCAACTGACTTCTATTCTGAGAGTAAAACAACGCTGAAACGATATGCAATGGATACGACGTGAGGATGTAGTGGCCTCAAATGATACTCATAAAACTTTGGTTACCAATTCTGCTGATATACAGTATGCAACGTGACAGCACACGGCTGGTATAGAAAAAGTATTTACATATTACATGTGACGACGATCCATTTCAACATGAAAAGATTTATTTAAGGTGATATCGCCATTTTATCAGAAAGGGGCTTGATCCAAGGTTTTCTTTAAGTTAATAAAAAAAGTTATTTGATGGCATCTCTGCATCCAATTGTACAGGGGCTTGTAAAAACGTGTTGGTTAATAGGAGGCGTGTTTGTTAGGATGACGGGGGCCAACAGGTGCTGAGATGCCACACACTAAAACAAAGATTTCAAAAAGGAAAATAAAAACATCCTTTTCCCCACTACAAGGAAACATAAATGTACATTCCAGATATCTGACAATCATAAAGAGGCTCCAGTTAGTGTTAAAGGTTGAAGCCACAGGAGCTAAGGAATCAAACGGGCTCTCTATAGCTTCAACAACTTCACATGCAACCCTGAGGCAGACGCAGAGAGGACTATGGCTAATTGGGATTGCTCACACCTTTTCAAGCTTTATTACTAAAACAGTGGACTTTAAAGATACTGTGTATTAATGTTGCCAGACCTTGACAAATCCATTAATACAAAAAAAAAGAAAAATAACTAACATTAATGCAAAGTAGCAAAATATAATAAGCAAATGCGTGGTTGCAGTTTATGAATCTGCCGGATCATTTTTTTGCCACACTGGCTAGAAATCACAAAAGGAAAGACCCTTTCAAAGCATCTTTTGTGAACAGAAGCATGACATTATGAATAAGCCACTCTTAACTTTCCCACAGAGACAGGCCTTTCTTTGATGAGGAAATACTGTTTGCCACACAGCTAATAATAATGATAGAACTTCTACCAACATTGCCTAATGAATTATGAACAAAACAACTACTCTTGTAATCTGGTGAAGAAATGCGTTGTCAGATATTTGATGTGGAAAGTGTTCCGCATTATTTTTATGGGATAATATCCCTTTGGGCCATTAACGTCATCTCTGCTACAGAATTAACGTAATCAGGGGCAAAATGTATTTTCAGAAATGACATTTTACGACATTCAGTGTTCACATATATGCAGCTAGAAATGCCTTTCGGCCCTATGGCTCCTTCATTAGCCGTGGAATTTAAAACAAAGGAAACGCCACTATGAGCGATTGGGGGAATAGGAGACGGGAAGTACAGTGGACGAATCAAAACCACCGGCTTCAGAAGGATATGGCTTCTGAAATATAACTTGAGTGAAGATATTACTTACTCCTCCCTCCAAAAAAGTTCAAAGAACCTAAACCCACAAATATTGATTTAGAAGCAGGAGGCTGTGAAGCGTCTCTCTGAATCAAGATGTCAAGATGTTACATTCACAGCAGTGATAGCGGCCGGACTAAAACACAAACACGATGAGATGGTTTTTTTGGGCCTCTGACATACAATCTATTTTCAACCTGCAGATCCAGGATGTGCTACAAGCTCTCTGTGTTTAAGGAAACAATAAAGACACGCCTGTATATTATCACAGGGGTTGGCGAGGGGACGCTCACAGACCCTAATGACGGAAATATGTTCAATGTCTGAGATTATGTCATATAACCAACATGCCAATTGCATATTTCGCCCTGTTCTCTTTAACCTGAAATGACTGGCTCCTTATGTCACCTCCCTTTCCTTTTATGTGTATTCATTGAATTTTAAATATTGGCCATCATCGTTACGTTTGCATATTGCTCCTTATTAGCCATAAATGGCCTATTTGTTAATATAAAAAGGCATGAAGATAATTTAATTAGTTCTTTGACGTAAAAGTGGACCAACTTAACATTTTGATGGAAAATGACACGTATTTTCTTTTATCTCAATAATACATTTCCCCCACACACCCAAACTCTCATTTGGTTTTTCATTTAAAGATTCTGACTCTGTTGGATGGGATGTTGGGACTGAATCCTACAGAAAGTAATCTTCTGGAGTGAAGAAGAGGGACTTGGGGACAGCCCTGCTCTTGGATTCCTGCTGCCGTATTTCTTGTTTTTCGGTGTGTGTTCTGTACTTTTTCTCTGCACCAGTCTCTCCCCTTTTCTGGGTTAGCACTCGCCATCAGAGACCAGGAATATCATGGCTTCTTGTTTGCCAATGTCAGCCATGACCGTGGCCAGCTGGTTGATGTTGCCGCTGTGGAAATGCTGCGCCTCCCACAGGTCCAGGATCAGAGAGGTGGGGCTCGCTTTGGATGCAAAGAAACTCATGTGTCTACAGAGAGAGGAGAACATAACAGGGAGGGAATAATGAGACGCTTTTATTGAATCAAGTGATGGGCACATATCAAAACGGACAGTATCTCATTTTCGCTACAATAACCGAAAGCCTTTCCTGCCGGTGCTTTATAGAGCTACTGCTTTTTGTAACTCCATCAATGTCAGGTTTTATTATGTGTTATACTGCTACATCTCGATATGCTGTGGTTGGAGCTGTAAGTAAAAAATGATAAAAGGTATACGAACAGCTCCTGAAACTGCCATCAAATACAGAATCTCCAGCAATGTTCTATCTGAAGCTTAAGCCTCATTCCTCTTTATTTGATGTTGAAATTGCCCTAAATCCCATATTGTAAATCCTATATCGACTTTTCACAGTTAAGTCGGAAGTGACCTTTTCCATTTTAGGAGCAGAACCTTTACGATCAAGCCCAATCAATGACAACAAAGCAGTGGCCCCGGCCCGCTCTATATTTGATGTTGAGTGGGCCCTGATCCCCCCCGGTCCCCAGAACATGCTTGTTTGATTTAATGGCCTTTTTCTGTTCTCCAAATGTCTGGGGCCTTAACTGCTATGTAGAGCACACATGGCATTCAGAAAAAAGGGAGCAGAGTAAACTCTTGGCACAAAGAGAGATTGTGTTGTGTGAGTGTTTTTCCAGGTGAGAGAGGGGGTGAGACAAGAAGCCTAAAACACCCCTTTCACCTTGAGGAAAGGTTACCTCCCCGTATCTCCTGTTTGCCAAGTGAAGCGTTATGTGATGGTTATAAACATGTGGCTGCTTTGGCAGTACACACACTCTGCTGCTTTCAGTCAATTGGCCTGTATAGTGCACACTGCCTTCCCTCTGCGTCGGGAGAGCACAACAAAGGGAAGTTGGTCAACAAATTGTCTGGGAACAAACCTCAGTGTCATTATTCAGATAAAAAAAGAAGACAGAGCTTAGTGTGCGATGTGTCAGCCCCGCTTATTCACCTCGCTGTGTGAAACACCGGCTTATCTTGTATG